GAGTAGGGGAAGAGGGAAACAGACTACCCTCTTACAAACTAAGGATAAAACCAAGCTCAGAGAGCACAAGCCTCAGTTGCCACAGGATATCCTTGTGCCCAGGGATGGAGGTCATGCACCCCCATACCTCTAACCACCACCAAAGACTGGCCTCCAGCTAGCTGTAGGCAGAACCCAGACTAGCAGCTGGTCTTCATTAACTCCAGCTTTTTTTCACCCCACACTGTGAACCCACAGCTTCTACAGGCTTAGGCTAGAGGGGGCTGCCCTAGCCCGACCTTGCAGCTGACTCTGGGGTGGGGGACACCACACCAAAGGCCAAGTTACCAGCTGAAAATAAAGTTGAAGCAAGACTCTCTTTTCCCATTGGGAGCAAGAAGAGAGGAAAGAAAGGAGTGTGGGGGTGAGAGGGTGGAGGTGGGGGAATTTAGGGCAAACAGCAGGCAGTGAAGTCAGCTGGATTGAGGCCCAGAAACCCCCACACCCTGGGGCCAAGTCTTACTCTCTAGCTTTGCTTTCAGCTTGAGTCTTGGCTAGGCCCCAAGGGAAGGCCCTGGCTGCCCCCTTCTGCCTCCCCACCCCCACCCTTATTAAATACACATTTTATCTCTCAGCATCTTCATTATCTTAACTGAAGGAGACAAGCAGTGGATGGCGGCAGCAGAGAGCGTCAGGAGAGGGGGGCGGGTGTGGGGAGCAGGCGCACCCTTGTTATAAAGTGCTGATCTAGCGCTTTCAGGCAGTGTGGGAAAAAGAGGTGGGATCAAAGGGAGCGAGGCTGATTCAGTACTCAATTAGAGCTTCTTAAAAAAGGAGCTAGGTCTCTCCTTTTGCCAGTCTTCAGACAGTCTTTACCAAGACCTCTTGCACCCAATTAGTTTCTACTGCCATGCCTTGGGGCTGGGGTTGAAAATCAAGGGGAGGCCAGAGGGCACGCCTTCTCCCTACACATCGCACCTTTTCTGAGAAGGGGGAGACCTGCCACTATGTGTGGCTTAAAAGAGAATGTCCTAGAGGACATCTTTTCAGGAGGAACCTAAAGTTACAACTTTCCCCAAAAGTTAAAAAGTGGGACATCAAAGGTGGGTTCTTTCTTAATCCCTTGCCTGTGAGAGGCACGGCTTCTGGCCAGTCTCTAGGGACACGAGGTAACAACCAGACAGGTACCCCTCTTCCCAGCCTGTAGGGAGGACGCTCTCTCCACAGCCAAAGCTTCCTGGGAGCAACATAGAAGTTGCCTCAAGCAAAATACCACATCAGAGGGAGCAACTGGAATGCATCTGTGAGGCCAATAAACCTTCACAACTGTGCCAAGATGTATTTTTTAAGATGAAGCACCCATCTTTCACGGGGGTGGGGGGGTGGGGGGGGACTCCACCTCTGTGAAAAAGCACTAGCAATGTTTATCTCCAGATTAGAACTGTCAAGATGGAGGGAAAGGCAGCATCTTACTTGGTTTATCTGTTCATTCAACAATTGTCCATTGAACACTTACCATGTACGAGGCATGAAGTGCTGGGGACAGATACAAATGTACATAAAACCTTAAGCTTGGCTCTTTTGGTCTCCCTCAGTAGTCAAGGTGATACCTCTCTACAGATATTTTTTAAAAATCTCCAAGTCTGGCCCTGGCCAGGTAGCTCAGTTAGTTGGAGCATCATCCGGTACACCAAAAAATGTTGTGGATTTGATCCCTGGTCAGGGCACCTACAAGAGGCAACTGACTGGTATTTTTCTCTATATATAAATAAAAAACATATCCTCGGGCGAGGATTAAAAAAAAATTTCCAAGTCTGTCTCATTCCTACTTCCCAGTTCTTATGGTGTCTTTTTTTTTTTTATTAATTAATTTTTGTTACAGATGTTTCTCCTTTTTCCCCCACTGATTCCCCCCTCCCTGCCCTGTCCACAGTTTGTTGTCCATGTCCACTGTTCATGCATACATGCATATAAGTTCTGTGGTTTATCTCTCCCCCACCACCCCCTCTTCTGGGGATTGTCAGTCTGTACCCCACTTCCACGTCTCTGGGACTACCCCATTCCTCAGACTGTTATGTTCATTATATTCCACAAATAAGTGAGATCAAATGATACTTGTCTTTCTCTGTTTGGCTTGTTTCACTTAGGATGATACTTTCCAGGTCCCTCCATGGAGTCAAAGGATAAGAGATCTTTCTTTCTTAACAGCTGCGTAGTACTCCATTGTGTATATGTACCACCGCTTTTTTATCCATTCGTCTACTGATGGACACTTGGGCTGTTTCCAGATCTTAGCTATTGTAAATAGTGCTGCTATGAACATGGGGGAACATATCTTTTTAAATTTTTTATCCTCACTCGAGGACATTCTTGCATTTATCTCCAGGTAGAGCAGGAGGGGGAGAAAGAGAGAAACATCAACGTGAGGGAGACACACCAAGTGGACACCACCCACACGATCCCAACCAGGGCCGGGGACAAACTACAACCTAAGTACATGCCCTTAGTGGGAACTGAACCCAGGACTCTCTGGTCCATGGGCCAACACTCTAACCGCTGAGCCAAACCAGCCAGGGCTTATTGGTGTGTCTTAAAGGCAGGGAGGAACAGGGGGCGGTGGAGGAGAGAAGAGAGCCAACTTTTTTGATCTCTGGGTAGCTTGGACCTCACACACTCTTGCCAGTTATCTAGCCACAGGCAAGTCTTCATTGAGCCAGAAATATCAGTGGCAGCTCTGGGGTTGAAACACCAACTTTATTGTGTCTATGTTCTTTCCATGGCAATACCCAACAACACTCTATGGAAGCTTAATCTGCTTCTTTGGAGGAGAAGAAATAAGTAAACCAGGACATAGACACACACACCCCACCACCTTCAAGAGGAAGAATGTAGGTCAGCATCTTTGCCACTACTCTTATGTGAAACAGCCTATGATCCTGGCAAACACTAGTAACCACAAGCCCATCCCATCCCACTAAAAATCCCACTTCTTCCCATAGCTCTCAGCCTTGGTGAGAAAAGCCAGCAAGAAAAGGACTTTCTTCCTCCTCTCAATCTGCTCCCTGGTCGTCTGATTTACACTTAAGACTTCACTGACAAACATACATGAGCTTTTGCCCCCACTAGGGCAGCGGAAGCCAAGCAGGGACTCGAGGTCGGCTTCACGCATCATCGACAGAACCAACCCTGTTCCAATTGCTGAAGTCTTAAGAGCAGCAATGACCTAGAAATTGATGGGGGTGGGGGTGACTGAAGGAAAAGAAACCAACAACCAGTACACAGAAAACCCTATTTCCAAATATCAGGGGAAAGGGAGAGAAAGAAGGTAGAGGGGAAAGAAATTTGGCCCCTTTGAATCTGCAAACGCAATCTTGGCTCTGTGCCATGGATACACAGCAGCCCCACTGCGAGTCAAGCCATGTTCCTGACTCAAGCCCTACAGTTAAGAGGAAGGCGCCAAGCCTCAAATACAACGAGGTGGGGAGGCCACTCCTTTTTGGGCAGGATCCTACTGTGGACACAGAACAGACAGCAGCTGCCCACAGTGTGGAAACAAACTGTAAAGCAGTCACGTCTCTTAAGGCTGCAGCATCCAATAAAATGTAATTTAAATCAAGCCTCGCATCTGTTCTCAATCCCATTCAGTCTCTGCTTTCCATCAGCCTTCGGACAATCTTTGCAATTATGCTTGTTAACCCTTATAGCCCCAGACACTCTCCAAGTTTCTAGGTACAGAGAACTGTTCTCCACTCGCAGATTACCTCGAGGGAATGACTTCTTTGACAAGAGTGTGTGAGCTCTGCTACACACCCGTGGGTAGTGTTCATTTCAGAGGGCTCCGTGTGCCCTTCTTCTATCCCATACCACCTGCTGCAGCCCAGATCACATTGCAAGGATACAGTGGACAGCATGAATGAAACAGTGGCCAACAGATCATTTGTACACATATCAAGTTCCCAAACTCAAGTCTCTGTCAGAAAGGTAGGAGGAGGCAGAAGAGCTCAGGGAACAGACTTGGTCACTGGTTCTCAGACCATTCATATTACATATGGTTTGCATTCCAAGAATTTGCTTGAGTTATAAAAGTACAGCAGTCTCCCAAATGAATCCAGCTTGTTTCCCCTTCCCTCAAACTGCCCCAGCCCCAGGTCTGCACTTTCAAGGCAGTCAGCGTTGTCATGGTGCCCTCTGGTGTCCCCAGCACAAATTGCCATTTTATGCCACTAGAAACCAAACCCAGAAAAGGGGAGACCTGAGTAACCATATGAATTAATTTATCTGATAAGACTAGAAAAAGATAAGATTTAGTTAAGAATCCAACTCCCAACAAAAGCATCTTAAGACAAGAGGCTTCATCTGTGGGTGAAGAGACCGAGGGACAGCTTAGGGAGGAATTTTCATACAGCCGCCTGAAAGCTTGAGCCCTGGATATGTGATTGCTTACAAAGACAAGAAAGAATGCAACTTGAAAATAAATATATTCACAGTCCGTAGTTCCATTCTCCTTACAACCCCACACCCTGGGGAGTGCCTAAGAAACTCAATGAGTCTTTAAAATGTCACAATGTGGATGTCTCTGCAACGTGAACACAGGAACCTCCAAAAAGAAAGAAATCCTTTGACCACGAAGCATCCTCCAACTCTCCACTTGGACTTGATTCCTTTCCTGGATCACCCTTTTTCATTCTTCTGATTCTAGTGCAAAAGTTCTTTCAAATGTACCAATGTTTGAGGAAACTAAAAGGTAAATATGTATACATTTCACAACATAAATCTGTATCCTTGCAAGCATATTAAGGTAGTAAATATAATTTAAAAGGGTCTACTTGGTAATTTTTAATGCATAAAAATAAGACTCCCCCCAAAATAATAAGACCTAAAGATGTTATATTCTGTGTAAACATTCTTGAATCTATCGATTAAATTTGATCACTTTCAAATAAAAAAAGTCGTATTTGTTTTCAGACCTGAATATAAATATATAAAGTACTAAAATGAAGACTTTTTAGCTCTCTAAATACTAGCTGGATACTTTCAAGTGGAGTATTAGTATAAAATAAAAGAATTTAAGGCAATCCAGTAGCTAAGATATTTCCAATTAAAGTTCTGTCTTTCAGAGCATGTTCTATTTCCTTCTCTTCAGTCTTCAAAGACACCTGGAAAGAAGAGAAAAAAGTTTTCACAGTGGAGAACTCACAAAGACAAAGTTTGTATTATGTAAAGGTCTACCATGTTAAACTTTTCTCACAAGAGACAAGTTACACTGCTTTTTCAATGGCCTAGAGAAAAAAAAAAATCTCATTCATGCCCCAGTCCCATCCTCACAGATCTTAAACTCTACCTAACAAAATACAAATTGTTTATCTAATTGCAGTCATTTTATATCCTTTACTTTAGCAAAAAACAAGCTCTCCAAAACAGGACAATTAAAAGCAATGCTACAAAGAAGTAGTCGGTTGTACCTTTGTGAAGCGGTTTTCCTTGTTTTTCTTTAATTCTAAAATGCCCCTGGCCTCCAAGAGCTCTGAAAGTGACAAACATTCTGACTGGTCCACAGCTGCCACCTGCTGTTTGCGACAGACGCTACTATAGGCTTCGTATAACTGGGAGAAAACAAGGAAGAACAAATGCTGCTTAGAAGTCATATCTCTTGTAACCTTATAATCTTAAAAATGTGAGTCTGGGTTTGCAAAAAAAAATTATCCCTCCCCCTTTTCAGTAAAATCTTTGAACAGGCATTCTGTAGATATTGCCAAAAACATACTGTACACTGTCATGCAGAAAAGGGCTTTATATTTCAGAGAGAGGCAGAAATAGAAAGGGAGATGATTAATGGCAAATTCTCAACCACAATCTAAGGGAAACAAAGTTAGCTTCCTTAGCCCTGGCCGGTTTTGCTCAGTGGTTAGAGCTTTGGCTTGTGGTCTGGAGAGACCTGGGTTCGGTTTCCGCTAAGGGCATCTACCTCAGTTGCAGTTTGTCCCTGGCCCTGGTTGGGTCGTGTGGGTGGCAACCACTTGATGTGTCCCTTTCACATCGATGTTTCTCTCTCTCTCTCTCCCTCCCACTCTATCTGAACAAAATATCACAAAATGTCCTCGGGTGAGGATTAAAAAAAAAAAGTTAGCTTCCTTTTATATATGGCACCAGTATTTATTCTTACTATTAAAATCCATTTTTAATTCTTATCAGCTGGAGCATGACAGGCCTTTGGAAAATATCTGCTCTGCAAAACAGATTCTCACCTCTACCCCAGCTCCATCTGCTGCCATTCCCACTAACCTTCCCCAGAGTGACCTCTTTGGTTTTCCACCGCCTGGTCAAGAGTAGCAAAGAGCAGACCAAGATCTTCTGCTGAAGAGGGAAGGAATCTTGTGCTCCTTCTTGGATCAAAGTCATTCTGTTTCCATCAACTTCTGAAATGACTTGGGATATGTGACTAAGACCAACACGCTTCGGAACCAGTGACTCAGAGGATGATTTACCTATAAAATAAATAAATCAAGCTTAATTAGATTTTTTAAATTGTGTGTACTGAGACAGATGATAGCAAGTTTTAGCTGAAGAAAATTCAAGTGCAGTCATGTAGTGGCAAAGCAGAGGTTCCAACTCTGGAACTAGAAACAAAAGAATGAGAGACAATGCTATCCTTAGAGAAAGGCCAAAATAGCCCGGCAGGTGTGGCTCAGTGGTTGGGCGTCAACACATGCACTAAGAGGTCACTGGTTCGATTCCCGGACAGGACACATGCCCATGTTGTGGGCAAAACCTCTAGTGGGAGCACGCAGGAGGCGGCCAATCGATGTTCTAGTTCATTGATGTTTCTTTCTCTCTCTCTCCCCCTTACTTTCTCTCTCTAAAAAAAAAATAATAAAGAAAAAAGCCAAAATAATGTGGGATGACTTGGGAAGAATACTAAGCTATTTTGCCCTGTAGAGCACAATTTCATTTCGGAGAGACAAAAATCCACCTCATGCAAGAATAAGGACCAGACAGAGAACTACTGTGTCTTGCCTTGGAAGTTCCTAATATCTCAAAGGTAAAGAAGAACAGAACCTTGAAGCAAAGATTACTGTGCCCAGTAATTAAGAAAAGAAATAAGTTGGAAAAATGATCTAATATGTTGAATCAAACAAGTGGCTAAATGTGGACAGTAAAGTCAATCCTATGTAAGTCCTCGAGACAGCCTCCACAAATGACCTTTGAGGTTGGTTCACTTGCCCAAGCTGATCTACAGTAGAGCAACACTTGAGAAAATGTCATTGGATATCTTAGCAGATAGCACCATCTCAGAGGCTGGAGGTTGGGAAGCAGCCAACAAGCTGCATGGGACTATAGCCTCATTGTTTGGAGATGCATGAATCACAAGACAGGAGGGATTTGCTCTGTAACAATCTTTACCTAAAGTTACTTCCCGAGATCATGTGCAGTTGCCCCACCAGTAGTGGAGAAACTGGAGTTCACTGAGCAAGTAGCAGAATCTTAAGGTTGAAGGAAATTTAGAGGCCTAGTCTTGCTCCCTACCCCACGGCTGAGTCCCCTCTGAAACAATCCCAACAAGTGGTCACCTACCCAGCTTTTGTTTGAATATCTTTAATACTGGGGAACTCGCTAAGTGTCAAAGAAGTTCAGTTAGTGCCGTTTATTAGAAAGTGTCTTCTTATACACGGTGGGGCAAGAGTGGGTTTATAGTTGTGAGTATGCGAAAGTCGATTCTTGTATTATTTATTACATTATTTTATTTTTTATTGATTTTTCTAAACAGAGGGGAAGGAAGAAAGAGAGAGAGAGAGAGAAACACTAATTTGTTGTCCCACTTATTTATGCACTCATTGGTTGATTCTAGTATGTGCCCTGACCAGAGATTGAACCCACAACCTTGGTATATTGGGACGATGCTCCAACCAACTGAGCATCTATCTATCTTCCTTCCTTCTTCCTTCCTTCCTTCTTCCTTCCTTCCTTCCTTCCTTCCTTCCTTCCTTCCGTCCTTCCTTCCTTCCTTCCTTCCTTCCTTCCTTCCTCTCTCTCTCTCTTTCTTTCTTTCTTTTTAAATATATTTTCTTTATTGATTTTAGAGAGAGAGAGATAGAAACATCGATGAGAGAACATCAATTGGCTGCCTCCTACATGCCCCCCACTGGAGGTTTAGCCCACAACCTGGGCATGTGCCCTGACCGGAAATTGAACTAGCAGACTCTTGGTGCATGGGTTGGTGCTCAACCTCTGAGCCACACTGGCCGGGCTTATTTTCTTTTTTAAAATATGTTTTTATTGAATTTTTACAGAGAAGAGAGAGATAGAAACATTGATGTGAGAGAGAAACATCGATTGGCTGCCTCCTGCACTCCCCCTACTGGGGATCGAGCCTGCAACTCAGGAATGTGCTCCGAGACTCGAACCGGGACCTCAGTCCATGGGAGGATGTTCAATCCACTGAGTCACACCAGCCAGGCAGGGCTGTATTATTTTCCATACGAACAACTGTAAATCTACTTTTGCCCCATCCTCTGTATAGCTGAAGTCAGTTTCCCTATAGCTTTCTAGAGCCATTAAAAGCCAATCACATACACCAGAAGTCAAGTCAGTAATCAGATTAGTCTAATAATTTACACTAGGAACTTATAACAGCTTTCAGCTATGTGTGTGTCAGTAGTGCTGACAGGGTCACTGACACACCTATGTGTTATTCGGTAGTGGGGGAAAAAATGGAATAGTCTGAAAAGCTGACTAGAAACAAATATCTAGTCTATGCCTTGGCATATATTACCTACCATCACCCTAAGCACTAAGTTTGGCTACTTCTAAAGTATTTTTATTAATTTTCTTTCAACGAGGTGATGAAAAATAGAAAGTGTTCTCTGTGGAACTACAGTGCTAGAAACAATTTTAATAACTTTCAACCAGTACAGGAGTGAAGAAGAAACAATCAAACCAGACAGTCCTGTTTCTAAAGATTAACAATGGATATTAAATACTGACGCGATAGTGTAGTCCATGGCCATTTAATATCTGCCATAGCCAAGAGACAGGAAAATTAATTTTTCCATTTTTGCAATAGCTTGCCGTTTACTGCAGCAATATTATCTTTATATCTCCACCCTCCTAGACTTGTTTAAAGACTTGAGATATCCCAAGCTGAACTCAATTCTTTCACTGTCTGACTCTTATCTACCAGGCTTTACTTTCGCCTATATTGAGACCTAAGCTGCACACAACCTAAGCACCCAGAGAGAAGCTGATCCAACCTTACTGTCCAGTTTTCATTCCTAGAGCTTGGAAGGTAAACCTACTCTGTCCCAACCGTTTATGTAACACCCTGGGAAACTCATTTCCAGTAATGCATGGATTATAATACTGGCAGACAAGATTGAAATTAAGATGATGAAATAGACCAAAAACCACACACACACACACACGGGTGAGTGTGGATTTAACTATGTTCATTACATCTTTCTAGCTCTTTCCTCAGAAAAGTTAAGCTTCCATTACGAAAAAAGATGGGAAGGAGATAAACTACTTACATTCAGACAGTGGTTTGAGGATAGTCTGGCTTTTGACATCCGACTCTACAATTTCAATAGCTCTCCTATAAAAAATATTTCTAAAATTAATTTAGGCTGAGCCAAACCGAACACCACACCAAACCACCAAGCTCAAAAACAGACATATTAACAAAAAAAATGTTTTATAATTTTAAAGCCCCCAAACAAAACTAGGCTATGTCTCAGCTAAAGGAGACTTAGTTGCCTTGAAATAATTTGCAGACCAGGGCATCTGAGAACTTCAACACTACATGGTTTCTTCTTACAGATGCCAAGTAGGTCATCATACATTGAGCCAATGATAACACTTTGGATGAGAAGAAAACGTCATGGATGGGAGAGAGAATACATAGTGTGGGCAGCTGACTAAAGACAGCTAGTACTACCCATCCACACCGGACCTAAAAGAAGTCTTCGGTTATAGACACTGGCATATGTGTAGGCTAAACCACACCAGCCTCCATGACTATTGCTCAGAGCTGAAGTCTTTACCCAAGTAGTTTGCTGACTAGGGGGAACTTTCAAATCCAGGATCATGCCATCTAGCAATAGGAAGAGCTTACTCTCCCACTGCTCTCTCCAAACTACTTTGCCCACAGGAAGCCATAAGCCAGATCTGGATCTTCTATATGGCAGTAGGGGGAGGTAGGACCAACGGGCCAGCACAGCAAGTATCATTTTAATGGACCCAGTGTCCCTACTGGGAAGGAAGAAATTTCATCAGTCAGCACAGAGCTTTCCCCAGCAGGAGGGACAGGGGGATGGGAAGGGAGAGAGGTCTGGAGTACAACTGTGGGGACCACCGACTGAAGGAAGGGGTGCTCACAAAAAGCTAAGGAAAGAAAAAAAATGTCCAAAGGCAAAGATGGTTCAGGTCCATAAATAAACCTGCTTGAGACCAGCTAATGGAAAAGTAAACTGGAGTCTTTTTTAATACAAATGTAATTAACCAATCTATAATCACCACAGGGAGTGCCAGCAACATCTCATTTGTTCCTCCCTCCGTAGGTAATGGACTGATAATGTTTCAGACATTAACACGGTGGAAAAGCAGAACTCCCCACTGAGAAACAAGTCCTCTTTTCTGAGCATAAAAAGTGGCAGAACAGAGCCTCTTAAGCCACATTCACTTGAGTTACACGAGACAATTAAACAGCATTTCTTTTTTTTAATAAAAGCAGCCAACAGTGCCATAACTCACCTGCAAACATCTAGTGCTTTGCGAACGTCTCCTGAAACAGCAGAGATTTTTCGGGCACAGAACTGAATTGCAGCATTGTCCAGAATCTGATCTTTAGGTACCTTTGGACAAGACACAGAAGGTGGCAGTTGGAACTATAAGGCTATGTCCTCTGTAATTTAGATCCCACACGTAAGTATTTTCACACATAAGTTTAAACTTGATTGGCCACCGTTTAGGGTCTATAAGAGATGTCTTTTCTACTCATAAGTAAATGAAGTTTTACACATTTAAGCATTTTGAGGAATGTGATAGAAGTTCATTAAGTGAAAAATAAAAAGCAAAGTTTCGTTAAATTAGCAAAACGAAACTAAAATAAAACCTATTTGGGCCCAGCCAGTGTGGCTGGATTGGACATTGTTTCATGGACTGAGAGGTCCTGGTTCAATTGCTGGTCAAGACATGTGCCCAGGTTGTGGGCTCGATCCCCAGTAGGGGGCATGCAGAAGGCAGCAGATTGATGTTTCTCACATAGATGTTTCCATCTCTCTCTCCCTTCCCCTCTCTAAAAAAATCAATATATATTAAAAAAAAACCACACACACACCTATATGGTCATTTTTAAAAGAGAAAGCTTTTTCATAGGCCCTATTTTGAAAGGTCTTACTAAAGAAGCAGTTGAGTAATTCCTCTCTTACTTTATTTTTATTTTTTTAGAGTGGGAAGGAGGAAGGGAGAGAGGGGAAGAGAGAGAGAGAGAGAGAGAGAGACACTGATGCATTGATGTGATTGGTTGCTTCCTGCTTAACCCCAACCAGGGACAGAAGCAAACCTGCAACTCAGGTCCATGCTCTTGACTGGGAATCAAACCCCTGACCCTTTGGTCTGAGGGCTAATTCTCTAACCACTAGTCATACTTGCCAGGGCTCCTCTCATATATATATATATATATATATATATATATATATATATATATCCCCCCCCCAACACTGAGGCACCCAATAAATGGAGTCATGGGTGAAAATTCTTATAAAAATGTTCTCACTACGGCCCAGAGGAAATCTATGCTTAGTGATGCTATCAAAACAAAATATTTTAGAGCTATTATTAGGTTTCCCCAACATAGGTGATCCAAGGAACACACATTTGGTATAATGGTTGTCACTTACCTGATTAAGTCGATCCTGCAAGATAGTGGCTATCTGATTTTTGGTATAAGGTGGGAAGTTCAACAGCCGTGGCTTACATTTTTCTCTAGCTTGAAGCCTTGGCAGAATTCTGTCTGTGAGATCCAAGGTATTAGCAATGCCTGAGGAGGAGATAAGGAACACTAACTATCACTGGTCAAATCATCCTAAAAGGAAAAATAAGCCATCTGAAAGCTGAAAAAAATTTCCAGTTATAACCCAGAATTACAATTGTTGCTTCCCACTTGCTGCCCCCCTGCTCCCACCCAATACTCGTTAGGTAAGATCTATATAGTCAGCACAGAATGCTCTTTTCAAGTTAGAATTGTTCACTGATAAGCAGAATCAGATACTCCAAAAATCAATGGTCTCTGAAATGCAGTATTATGCCATTTCTATTCAGACTTAACAAAACTGGTTTTCCTTAAATTAAAATTACTATTATTTTAGGGTAACTTCCTTATTTTGATAAGAAAGTAGAAAGCTGGTTTAAAGTGAAATAATAGGTGATAAATAAGCTAAGGAGATTTAAAAAGGATTCTTTAGAATCACCATGTAACAGTAACAACTGAGCACTCACCAATCAGCACCAATCGAGAATTGCTTAGCCATGGCCATTCAAACAGTGTGTACAACACATCCTGCCCTTTGCTGTCCAGCTGATCCATCTCGTCCAACACCAACACACTACATAGAAAGAGAAATAATTAGTGTCCATGTTCACCTTCTTCACTCTCCTATCTGCTTGATCTGGGCTGACTCTAGGTCACGTTTCTACAGCTGAGACCATTCTGAAGATCATAATTTGTCCTATCTCCAGTCACTGCTACAAATGATCTCCCCTCCACCATCATGAAAAAGTAACACTTAGGTTTTCCAAGCAATTAGTTTAAAAATACTGTCCAATTTAAAATTTGGAAAGTGTAATTTTCTTTTCTTCTTTCCCTTTAAGCTTATTTAACGACCTCTCATAGAGAAAATTCAGGGAAATTTCTTTTTATGAGCAAACTGATAAATTCAAGAGACTAGAATGTGAGTTTATGGGTGAGAGACTTTTCAGATTTTTAGACAGGAACATGCGGCAGAGCAATACTTACATCATGGGGCCCTTCTCTGCAGTCAAATGGTTTTCCAGCTTCCTCATCATGTCCTTCCCAGCTGGCCTGGATACTCCTTCCTGACAAATCTCCTGAGCAATAACTGGGAATACAGCCTGGGCACTCCTCAAGGACATGCAATTCAGCATGATGGTTTTAAAACTTTTCAGTTCCTTCTAGAAAAATGCAAACATAGGAGTTATTTTGACCTCGGATAAAGATTTGATGGAATCTGAAGTGTCTTTGAGGAGTTAACAGCATACAAGAGAATAAGCTCTATTTTCGTTTGGAAAGATTTAGACAAGGAAACCAAACATGTCTTTTGGGGGAAAACGTCACCTAAGACTTCCATTTTTCCTTAACCCTTAATAACTAAGTGTGATTTTAGCAAGAGCATCATAATTCGGACTCTCTAAGTACCTTCAGGTCTTGTAGAATTCGGCTTAAGCAGGCAGTTTTTCCAGTTCCAGGAGCACCAGAAAGATAAAGGCTTCCAGCTTTTTTCCCACAGATGTGCTCCCTCAGGAAATTCCTGATGACATCCATCTCCTTTTCCCTGGCAGGCAGTCGATCTGGGACAGCTGTATTCAGGACCAGCTTTGCTTGCTGATAGCAAGTGCCTGTGCCAGACATAAAAGGACAATTAGATACAACGAAGGTGACTGAGAAGACCCAGTGGGTTTCATTTGGATTTACCAGCCTTGTTTATAAGGCTGCACTAACAGCTGCTGTAAGAACAAACCTTCTTGCTTGAACAGTCTCACACATGCAGATTCTTTCTCCAGTGGACATCTCTGCTCAGAATTCGTTATGATCTCTTGACCTTTTCGAGCTGAGGAACATATTTTGTTTTCGTGGACTCTGGCTTGTTCTCTTTTGCTAGGAGACTTAACTGTCAGCTGATTGTCAAATACCAATCTGCGCCCCTTAGGTGTGTGTGAGCGAGGGGGACCATTCTCTTTCTTGCCCAGCTTTGGTGGAGAACAGGTTGATAAATGGGGAGTGTTGCATTGGTTGTCATCACCTGAAACATGTTAAAATAAAAACATGGTCATTCACGGCAGTGTTTAGTAAAAAGACTTGCAGAGATCTTTGCCTACCCTAGAAAAAGGTGAGTATATACTTCAGTCAAAGGCACCAAAATACAATGCCTCTCATGTTAGAAGCAAATACTGGCCACCAGATGGCAGCACTGAATCTTACTACTGTGCCATAGAAATCAAAAGGGTTTTGGTGGGATGAAATTCTAAGATGGTTCTAAAACAGGGTTTCTCAACCTTGGCACCATTAATATCCTGGGCCAAATAAATCTTCACTGTGGAGTATGTGTGTTCCCTGTAGAATGGTTAGCAGCATCCCTGGTCTTTATCCACTATGCCAGTGGTACCTCCTCAGTTTTAACAACCAAAAATGTCTTCAGACACTGCCTAATCACTCCTCATTAAAAACAAATGATCTAAAACAAGATAGGATTACCAATCACCATTCTAGAATAAGTATGTCACCCTTGTCTCTTAATTTCACCACTATTAGGGCAAATTTCTTTTTTTTTTTTGGTACGTGCCCCTGGCAGGAACTGAACCCGGGACTCTCTGGTCCACAGGCCGACGCTTTAACCGCTGAGCCGAACCGGCCAAGGCCTATTAGGGCAAGTTTAAAAATACTATACATTACAGTTAACTGCTAAGTCATTTAAAATACTGATAGATACTAAGTTCAATTAAGAACTATTAAATACTTCAGAAAGTGATCCTAACTCTGAAATTCAGTGAGAACCTAGCAACCATCTTGAAAATAACCAAAGTGAATAGAGGGTCTTAACAGAACTTACCTGCTTCAAAGGGCCAGGCACTCTTATTACTGAAGAGAGAGAGGAGGTCAAATGCTACCAATCGAAAAGTACTTATATAACGGATAGCTTACCCAGACGTTTTCTGGGGCTGAGAGGCAGACTTTTTACACAAGGAGAACGGGATATGGCCTGGACATTTGTCAGTTCCCGTTTGGCGTCGCTCGAGTTTTTAGCTTTGTTCGATGTCCGAGGCAGCTTCTTTTTAGGAAAACGGATTGTAGCTTGTGACTGGGATCGGGTTTGAGGCATGATGGCAACACAGCTGGACACAAAAAAGAGAACAGGAAAGCCAATCAAGATGTAAAACTAAAAGAAAAATACCTAACATGGACTGTATACCCATGATCAACACATTTCATAAGTAAATAATGTTATAACATTTTAGCATTCGGTTCTGCTTCCCATCCACATCCATACAATAACAGCAAAAAACTTGTCTTCCAACTACGGTAAGAAGCTGTTACAAACATTTTAGGTACTGCCTCATAGGTACAATTATTAACGTGATCTTGAGGATGAGAAAACTACGAGGCACAGAGGCCCAAGTCACAGCAAACCAGGCACTCTGGCTCCACGTTCTTACCCACTTGAGCAACGCAATAAGTTCATTTTGATTTATTTCTACAGTACTTCTAATTCCCTCACTCCAGCTACCGGGTATATCTTTATCCCTACAGTCTCCCCCTCGCCATCACCCCCCAGGCCTCACTCTGCACTCAGTCCCCCCTCTACGCAACTCTCAAACCCACGCGGAACATACCCCTCTTACAACATTCAGCTCCTTTGCCTACGCACAACTGCCAGACTACTCCGTGGGCGCACATAGAATCCCTCACCCCACCTGATCTCCCGCGGTCTGAGCTCAACTCCCCTCGCTTCACCTCGGGCATCATCGGAATCCGCGGGCCTTGTCACCCCCCTCCGCTACTTCCCTGACCCCAGGCCTCCCGGAGCAATCCTCTCCTCTCCACCCCACAGGGCTGCATCACCTCAATGCCGCGTCCTTCTCACCTCTCCGGCACAAGGCTTCAGGGATTCTTCACAATTTCCTAAACAAACCGGCAACAGCAAAATCCAGACGCCCTCGCGCCAAATCTGCACCGCCGTAGCTTTCCGGCCTCCCGCCAAAGTCCAACCAGGTTTCTGATTGGCTGTCGCCTGAGTGCCGCGCAACTTGGACAACGCCCACCTTCCTTTTCGCGTCCAATCCACAACCAATAAGAGAGCCCAGGTCTCAGCGCCCCCGTGAGGCCACGCCCACCGAGCGGAGGGTGCACATTTACATCCGGGATCTCCGCGGAAAGACGCGCGGTAGCGGAGGGAGTGACTCTGGGAAAGGCGAACTGCACACGCCGCACAGCCCGGCGGGAGATGTAGTCTTTGTCGCTCGCGGCTTTATTTCTACGGCTTCCTCTCAATGGGAGGTGTAAATATGTGGTTGCTCCTTCTCACTGCTGCAGTTACCCATTTTCATCATCCTAATGGACTACATTTTTAGAGAGCTACTATATAATACATACCATTTTGGGGACAGTTCTGGGTGCCAGATATGATGCTAGGCGCTTTATTTATCTAATGCTCAACCCTGCAAGGTATAAAGCAATTGTGCAGAGGGTTAATTAGGAGTCACACCATCCTGCTGAAGAAGGGCCCTAGGACCCAGATTTCCTGACACCCAAACCAATGTTGTTTTTTTGTAAAGTTCTACACATGCATAAAGAAATACATCTCATTACAGTATCCTCAATTTGTGTTTCAAAGGTGAGAAATAAAGCCAGGCCTTTGTTTTTATTTTGTTAAAGGTAAGAATCTGATATTTTGTGTACCTTCTTATCATTAATCCCATTAATCAACACTTCGTAGGGGAGTGGAGAGAATTATGACCCCTTAATTTTAAAATCTTTTTTTTTATGGCGAAACACTAGGGTTTCAGGGCCAGAGAAGACTGCTATAGAAGAGGCAAGCTGAGCTTTTAATGAAAAAGATAAATTACAGCAGTAATTTATAGGCCAGCTTCCAAAGCTAATAACCTAGCTAAGCCTCCAGTTCTGTTAAAGGCCAAAACCCAATTTTAGGTGATGGTAAGCATTTATCTTTCATCCTTCAACATCAAATAAAATGCAGCAATAAAGTTGAGAAATAGGAAAACAATATTACAATCGTCGGTTAATTGTAGTTAGTTCATATAGGAGATAAGAGCCAATATTGAGTGCCTAAGTGTATGCCAGGGACTGAGCTCAAGCATTTTACCTATATCACCTTATTAATTCTCACAAGCACCCCACGAAGTTGGTATTATTTCCATTTTACAAATGAAGAAATGAAAATGGAAGGGGTTGAGTAAATATTACCAAGGTCACACAACTAGTAAGTGGAAGAGCTGGAATTTGAACTTAGAAAGTCTGACAGCTCAAACTCTTAACCACTTAAACATGGGAGAGGATTAGATAGATGCAGTTCTAATTTATTTTATTTTTATCCTCACCCGAGGACATTTTTCGATATTTTGTTCAGATAGAGTGGGAGGGAGGGAGAGAGAGAGAGAGAGAAACATCGACGTGAAAGGGACACATTGAGTGGTCGCCACCCACACGACTCAACCAGGGCCGGGAACAAACTGCAACTGAGGTACATGCCCTTAGCAGGAACCGAACCTGGGTCTCTCTAGACCGCAGGCTGACACTCTAACCGCTGAGCCAAACTGGCCAGGGCCAGATGCAGTTCTAAAGTGGACTTCTAAATAGGAAGAGATGGTAAAGAAGCACATTTTGGAAAGGCTTCCTAGGAGCTGAAAACCATTAAGAGTGAAGATATTAGGCAGCCATGAACATAAAAAGTGTTATCCTAGAATGGAAGCTTTTGACCAGATGGTATTTATCAAAAGGGTAATAGAACCTAGGAAGCAACCTTCACTGTTCCTATTTATTTTTATAACTGGGCACCTGCAAATTGTCCTTAGTAACCTGAAATGGTACCATGTGCCCAGCCAGCTTTAAGGGATGGTAGTGAACAATCTCCCTCAGTTACAGTGGGAGAGAGGGAGCAGAGGAAGCGTTGAGTACTTTGTGTATGTGTGTGTGTGTGGGGGGGGGGGTACGTGCCCCTAGCAGGAACTGAACCCTGGACTCTCTGGTCCACAGGCTGACGCTCAACCGCTGAGTCAAACTGGCCAGGGCAAAGCGTTGAGTACTTAACCTGCATATTGGAGCCTATGAAAACACTCACCAGGAAGTTTAATACTGGTCCAAAAAATAGTGGAAGCAGGCAGAAAATCACAGAATGTCAGGATTGAAAGGTCTCTAAAAGGTTAACTACTTGAAAATTTCCCTTTCCAATATTCCAGTAACGTGATGCACATACCACCAAACTATTTCTTGCTTCTCTGCCTCTGTCCTTGATATTTCCAAGTTCTGGAGGACTGCTCACTATCCTCCTTCCCTGGCTAATTACCATAAAGCCTTTTAATATCCTGCATAGGTTTCTGTCCTGAAGTCTTCTACCAACTCTGAGCTCCTTGGAGGCAAAGTCCATGTCCTATTCATCTTCATATTGCAGATGCCTGGCACAGAGTCAAGTAGGGAAAGGACATTCCTGCCAAGTGCGTATCCACCTTTTGCATGAACACTTTTTTGTGGACAGATGGCATGTAGTCCTTTAAATCTCACACACCTAAACCCAGAAGTGGAGAAATTCTCCACTTCTGGGCTCCAGTGATGTCAGAGGTGAAGTATTTTCCCCCATAGTTATTCTCTGGGCAGTTAGAATCCTTAGGTTGACATTTCAGTTTTCTTACCTCTGCAGAATAATAGGAAGTCAGAGACAAGCAGCTTTCTTTGCAGGGAGTCGCAGTTTGTATCTGGGTTGAGCCAGGGAATACTGAAGAGGCACATTCACAGTGAGCAGCAGTGTCCCAGTAATAATTAGAGTGGGCAAACTACTGTCCTTATCAACTGCTAATTCACACACAGTATTATGAAGGAAGGAATCAAACCACACTGGAAGGACCTGTCCAGCATCCTGTTGTACGAGTACACACACACACATACATTAGCAATACCATCGCAATAGGTTGGAGAAAGCTTATAGCATTAGGAAGTTAAGGGTCATTTAGGCAAGCTCCATTTGAAAGTCACAGGAAGAACAAATAAATAAATAAATAAATAAATAAGTAGTTTATTAATCATATTAACAATGGGTCAAATAATCAGGAATTCGGCCAATTTGGCAAGTATGGATGAAAATGAAAGGAGCCCTTTCCCCCCCTCCCTCTCTCACCCTCATAGGTTCTGATATCTAAATTATGTGAAAGTGATTCATACACACACCCACTATGAAATCAGTATGGGAAACAATTTCAAGACCTTTGCTAGTGATGAAAGTGCAAATTAAGTTCAATAAGTCTGAGTAGTGATTATGTCAGTTGACCAAAGCAAGCAGAGAATGTCTGGTTTAATTTTTACACCTAAAATCAAAGTTCAAGAAAGCCAGTTAAGATTTCAACTTAAAAAGCAGTGAAGAAAAGCAGCCAACACCCACATAAAAACAAGACATACAGTCTGCATGCTCTGCCCCCACCTTTTCTTCCATGCATCAGTGTGAGAATCTGCCATGCAACACAGGCAGAAAGAATCGTAATATAAAGGACACGAGGCCAGGTGTCCTGGGTTTCCCGAAATCATAAGCAAAGGGGGGTTAGGTAGCAAATATAAATAATGACCAAGTCTATCAGAATCAGTCAGTTGGCATGGCTACCTACAATGACTTTCAAAATGTAGCAAGTGGAGAGGAAAAAAAACTTTGAAAAAGCTGCAGCTGCTTCTGCCCAAGTCAGGGTATTTACTTCCTCAAAGGAACTGGAGTCAAATCACTACACAACCTGGACCACGAGGCAGATTTTCTCTCCTCTCTATGCCACCACATGAGGCGGTATTCCAGACAAGAGTACACAGTTTCCAGTTTTTTGTTTTGTTTTTAAGCAAGGTTTAATTAAACTGCACAGCATCCAGAAGGAACAAATGTACCAAAGAATCCATCCTGAGACCAGATTATACATTTTAAAGGGGGTTGGGAAAAAAAAAAAAAATCAATGCTAATTGGGAGAGAGAGCACTGTAATCAGAATATAACTCCAAAATAAATCATACAATAAATTACTTTTTAAAAGAAACTGATCCACGTGTAGACAAAGATGGACACACACATACACACTCACACTCTTCACACATGTCTTTTATTCAGTGTTGACTATGACTTCCATGCTGGTCGTCTTGGGAAATGACAAAAGATAGATGAGAAAAGTAGGCTTGGCCCCTCTGCCATCAGTAAAATGAGATTTAAGACAATTAGGGAACCCACTAAGATGTTAGAAATAATAGGAAAGGAAACAGCAGTTATCAAGGAAGATTTTAATTGCTTCAAAGAGGGAGAGAGGAAGAAAGCACAGAAATCTACACAAGTAAAGGCACAATGAACGTGGAGTTGAATGGAACCAAAAAACCCTTCCTTCGGTTATTCTTTTTTTTTTTTATGTTTTTAAGGTGGTTGTAGTTTTGTTTCACTTCGATGGGTCTCAAAGGCAGTGTTGCAATGCCTTCTATTCCCTAAGTTAGGTTGGCTTACAGAAAGCTACCCTAACTACACAGCCAGGAACTGAGATTTAAAAGGGAAAGAAACTACAACTGGAATGTGAAGAATTTGATTTGCAGTTGATTGTAGGTTGGGTTTCCAGAAGGACAGACAGCTCAGTGTAGTGCCATCAAAGGGCCTCAGATGCCCTATACTCCACCCCCAGAGCTTTGCAGAAGACCCTGGAGTCACACTTCTCCCCCACTCCCATAAGCACTCAGCCTACAGATTATTTCAAGTGATCAGGAGAATTAAAACACACCCCAACCTGAGTTGCTCTGTAGCAAGTCTATTTACAATTTTTTCTCACCTCTCCATGGAGGTAAATCTGGGTTCCAAGTTGGGAAACCGTGGGGTGACGGGGTGCCCCCCCATGCAATGACCAGTGGCTAGTCTCCCTGCCTTTGCCAGTTGCAAGGGCTGGGATGAATTTCTGGAGACAGCAGCTTCACATCCACTGGGTGGGGTAGCCCTAGACGCTCTGTGGATCCAGGCTGTGAATATGATAGGGCTCTGTTGCTGGAGGAAATCCCCACGATAGGGAAAACCACACCTGGAATATCAAAGTGCTTTGATCCAGGTTTGGTAACCAGAAAAGAGGGGGAAGAGGGGCATCTAGCTCATTTAAAAACCTGGAGGCCACGGCCCTGCTTCCCAGAAAGGGCGGTAAGAAACAACTATAGTATTAAGTTTTCCCCACTAGAGAAAAACATCATAAAACCAAACCCGCACAAGGGCTTTTAACACAGCTTCCTGATGCTTAGTTGGGCAATGTCTCCTTCTGGGAGGGGATAAGGGGGTTAACGGGACAGGGCAATAGCCTCAACATGAGACCACCCAATGTTCCACTGAAGAGACGACATTCCCACAAGCAGATAAAAAGAGTGGGTTAAAGGTGAGAAGTTTTAGTGCTCTTGCAGCCAGCCCACCTTCAATCTATATTACAAGCTTTTTACAACATACAAAATAGATCAGTAACTATGAAGATCACATTCCCATTCTTCAATAGTAAATATACATGATAATAAATCTGTTATTAACAGAGGGACCAAATAATGTATAAGGCAAAGACATTTAAATAAGTACTGTGTCACCAACATGCGCTGAATAAAATGCATCTGACTAGATCTAGGTCCAGGCCTTTTTTCATGAGGCCAAGAAAATGAAAATACATCAGTACCCATGTGACACAGTCCAAATGCTGGGGAATATGAGGGACAGCAGGTCACAGGGGAGGAAGATATCAGCCCCAATGAAAAGCTGGGGTTTGGCTTTTACTTGTGATATTTATTTTGATGCTCTATGTTTGAGGAAAGGGAAAAAAACATACACTTGATAACATTGTACAAAAGGCATCAATTCCCATTTCAAAAATAAATGGGAAGACTTCACAGTCCAAGTTTAGCAACTAGTTAGCATCTACCCTGGAACTCTGCTGTGGTATCCACTCTTGTACTCTCTCCTTTTCCCTTCACTAGCGTCCCCTTCTCAGCTCTATTCACTTCAGGATGCCAGGGATATTGCTGGGAGGTAATTACCTAGTAGGTTTGGAAATAAGAATGATAATGATTAGAAAAAGTTTGATGATAGACCTAATCATTGTTTGTCTCAAGAGTCAATGTGGTGCCCTGGCCGGTTTGGCTCAGCGGTTGGAGTGTCGGCCTGCGGACCAGAGAGTCCTGGGTTCGGTTCCCACTAGGGGCATGTACCAAAAAAAAAAAAAAAAAAGAATCAATGTGGTCCAGGAGATGACAAAGGATAGCAGACCTCATACAAATAACCCAAGTTGAACCCTCTCTCTTCTAGTATTGGGAAGTTCACCTGGCACCATGCACAGATCCTTAGTCTGTGATCCAATAGATTGGGAAGGTTTCTAAGATAGTTCAAGCCTGTGATGTATCTAGTAAAAATTTTTAACTGACTTTCCCCAACCATTTTGAGAAATCACCATGGCCTCCCTGCTCTTACTCCAAGCTTTGAGTAGCCTCTGCACTTGGCAAGAGCTGTGGCAAACCAAACCACTTGGGTGTGGAGCCCAGGAGTCCTATTCTGCTGTAGAAGGGCAAGTCCCTGTCCCATCATTCAAGCTCAGTTCCAGTCTAGATTGGGAACCTCCATTTTCTCTGTGTTCTTTAACTAGGACCTGGAAGACAAGAAACAACATATTGCTGGCTGCTAAGGAAGATAGCTGGGCTGAGACATGTCTCACCAAAGTCTTTGTGCCTCTTGGCACAGAGGAATCTTTGACAACACCCATAAACTTCCTCACCCTCCTCTACTCTGCTGTTAACCCCTGCAGTCTTGGAAAGGCAAGGGTGTTGGAGAAAAGAACAGAAAGAGCTTTTTCAGTCAGTGGGCTGTGAACTCCACAACAAGCTTCACCCTTCCCTTGTTTGTCATCGTGGAGCCCCCCATTAGGGGCTGTAGTTTCTAGACAGGACTGAAAGGGCCAGTGTCCTTCAGGGTCCGTGAGAAAAGACTGACGAGGACTCAAGGTCAAGGTTAAGGCCAAGACCCCAGCCCTATCTTCCTATCTCCCACTGGACGTTTTGGGGGTTTGTGAATATGGAATGAATGAAAGTGACTTTTCTCTTGAGGGTTTGGGTGATGGGGGGAGGAAAAACACTCCTCAGCTTCACCACTCTGAGGAAATGGGGTGGGGAGCCCCAGAGGACTTAAATGGTTCCTGGTCCCTTTGCTGCAGAGGAACTGACTAGCACTGAAAGGCTTCCCAGTTAATTTACCCTCTCTTTTTATTAGATGTTTAGTTCAACTGATTCATATTTAGTGTTTATATCCAACTTATCCCTGGAGTGAGAGTATGAGGTGGGATAAGAGCAAAACCAAAATACCCCTAAATATAAAGCAGACCCATTCCTTTGCCCTTTCTCCAAACTTGACCTTTAAAACAGATCACTTCTCTGCAAACTCCTTTCCTGTTTCACTAAAAATGTTCCCACCTCCCCAAGTCCTGGCCACGTCAACCTCCTAAATGATGAAATATGATATATCCGCCAAGCTTCCCCCGAAGTGGGTAGGAGGAGGTAGGAGTACCATTCTCCACCCTGCCCCAACAATGAGTTAATTCATCACAACAAGGCACCTTTCCCCACAAGGAAAGCAGGCGACATGGAAGCTTTTTCCTCATCTGGCTAGCAGGGATTGCCAGAGGAGGGCTGGATGCAGGGTTTGAGACCCTACTGTCAATATAAAGAGTCCAATCACCAAGTCCAGAAGACGAGATGCATAGATGGAGGTGAGCTGGGAGGACGCTTGGAGTCTAGAGGTCGGTTGCACTGGAGGAACATGTTAGGAGTTCTCATGCAGGTTTTGGGGGAATGAAAGGGACCATCTGAGAAGAGGAGAGGGTCCATCCTTTTCCTGAGGAACAGGACCACCCCAGGCTTCACCTGAGAATGGGTGGCAGAGGTGGGGCTCCACGAGCAGCTGAAAAAAATTAACAATAAAAACCACATACACAAGATCACCCACCAGACCCTGAATAACCCAAACATTCCCAAAATGAGAGAGAGGCTCTTTAAGCTAATCTTTAAAATTTGAGGACCAGGTTTTTTGCTTTTTAAAGAAAATGTAGATGAGGAGAATCAAATTTTAACCTAAGAAAAGCATATCAATTCTATTTTCTATGCAATTATGAAAAAACTTTCATGACTACTCTTCTCACCTCGGTTTGTTTTGCTGGGATATACTCTCTGAAAGTGTTTATATTCTTCTGGAGCAGGAAAGTCTTCTACTGGATGGAAAGAATACTTTGACTCAAAATCATCTACGAAAGGAACAGAATATTATTTCATATCATCCTTCTGTCCCTTCCTTGTGTTTCCAAATACCTCTGTACCACTTCTGACCCTCCCCTTACTAGTCATCATGCATTCTGATGTATGTGAGGGCCTGCCTTGCCCACTAAACCAAGGTTCCGGAGGACAACAACAACAGCACTCTATGTGCCTCGTGTGCACAGAAGATGTGCTCAAAGGCTCTTTACATTAAGCAATTAGTCTTTGAACTGTTGTTTTTTCAAGATATTTCCACCAAAAATCAGACATGTAACAGGAAAGGAGCCCAGCTGTTTGCATGGGAGGAGAAAGAAATATAGTTCTTTGACACAGTCATCTTAGAGAAACCAACTGAACTCAGTCCACAAATAGGTAGAAATTAACCTAAAATGGGAATATTTGTCACCAATTAGTGAGAGATCTGACCAGATAATTCCCTTCTGACCCAGATTACCCTCATTTAGCAAATTTTTGTATCTCTTTGAGTGCCCAAGGGAATAGCTATATCATGGCTCCCACTCCCACTTTCCATGGCTCCTCTACAAGAAGGATCAAATGCTCTAGGGGTGTGGCTAGATGACATTCCAAAGGACTTTATCTTCAAAGCAAAAACCCTGGTGCACCTAATCAGAATACACTAGAGCAAGAGCAGAGAAGAGTCAACCATTCAAGAATCTAGAGTGTTAGATCTGAAAGGGATTGTACAGATCTTCCCAGGAGTCCTCAACAGAGGATCTAGTGATTCTTTCTGGATAACCTTTGCTTGGGACTCCATCCTAGACCTAATGAATTGGAATCTTTTAAGATAGCTCTTTCTCTCTCTTGAGCATGACCTCACCTTTCCCCACCCCTTTCTTTCTCCAGGGTTCACTTGCATGCTCATGTGCTTTCTCTTTATCTCTCTCTTGCCCTCCCCTTTATCCCCTAGGTGAGGTCTCTCTGTCGTTCTTTTTCCTAAGCTCCAAGGGCCCTTGCTTGGCTTCTATAACTCATTTCCTAGGCCATGCAGCTCAACTGGCTCACCTTTTTTTTACCTCTGTGACTTTCTAAATAAATTTTTTGCTTGTTAAAAAAAAAACTCTTAGGTAGGGCCTAAAATTCATTAATAACCTTGGAAAAGTTAATCTGACACACTCCTGATCTGGTCAACCTCCTCATTTCACAGATAAGGGAAGTGAGGCCCAGAGAAGTGAAGCAACTTCCTCAAAGTAACACAGCTAATTAGTGGCTTTGGATTACTACATAAATGTTATCTGCACAGTGGGGTTTTGTGTGTGTGGCAGTTTTATAACTTTGACAATCAGCAGTTAGTTCTCATCCACATTAATTGTCTGTAGATTATTTAAAGTGGTGACAGGTATGTAGGTAACTGACACATAGAGCTTATTCAGTGAATCTTCTGTGGTATGGGACATTCCTTATTCCTTTGGCCCAGACAGCTTTGTTGAGCCTGTTGTCAATGTGTACATCTGGTGTTCCCATCTACTTCATGGCAAATTTTTGTATCTCTTTGAGTGCCTAAGGGGCACGCTTCTTGAAACCTACTCCATGGATGCAGTTGAGAATGATGATGGTGTATTCTCTGGTCACTAACTAGCTGATGGCGGAATGGCTTGTCTTCTCACCATCTTTTGCAGGAGGCATTATGCTGGGCCCAAGTTGGAAAGAAAATTTGTTTTTTTTGGTATGTGCCCCTAGTGGGAACCAAACCCAGGACTCTCTGGTCCGCAGGCCGATGCTCCAACCACTGAGCCAAACCGGCCAGGGCAAGTTTGTTTTGTTTTTAAAGGGCCAGAAAAGAACTCTCCTTCCTAAGGGAATGCATACTTCCTGTCTGAATAATCCCGAAGAGGATAAAGTCTCTGACTTAAAGGTAACCACAGCCCTGGCTGGTTTGGCTCTGCGGTTGGAGCGTTAGCCTGCGGACCAGAGAGTCTCCGGTTCGGTTCCCACTAGGGGCACGTACCAAAAAAAAAAGGTAACCACAGATCTTTGGGGAGTAAGAGAAAGGCTTAAGAGTTAGCATGACACCTGCTAATTTTACTTCAATCTATCCCTAAGCAACCATACCTAGAATTAGCATAAGGAAAAGGACAAATGCATAAGGCCCAGAAGTCAGACAAAGTTAGGAGAGGAAGTGCTGTGAACAACAGTTATCAAATGACATTCCCATTCTACAATGGCCACTGAAATTAATAAATCACCACAGGAATTATGAGACTAAAACAGCTAGCTACTCACCCAAGAAAGATCGAACAGTGGTAATAGAATCTCTGTGGCCATTCCTCAAGGGTGGTGGAGGAGGAGGCGGTGGCCCAGCTGGCGTCCTTGAGGGAGGAGGTGGAGGCTTTCCTCGGCTCAGAGGTTCTGACCCATGTCGGTATGGTGGTGGGGGAGGGGGAGCATCCCTGGCACCATTTCGGATCATGGGTGGTGGGGGTGGAGGAGCTGCAATTAAAATCCAAAGCAGTTAGGTTTGGATGAAGGGGTTCTGTGCGCCTCTGAGCACCATGTTAAATATCACATTCACCCTCCTCTCATCCCTGTTTCTTTAATAGCATCAGCCTTCTTCTGGATACCAAAGTTCAGAATAAATGTGTGATTCTTTTTCATTTCCCACAATAAGTACGTCAAGAACTCCACCTATTATTATTTTTTTCCTGCTTTTCCATGTCTTCCTCCAAATTCTAATTCAGGGCTTTCTCATACTTAGCCTGTTCTACTGCAAAAAGCCTCCCAAATGTTCTTGCTTCTAATCTCTTATCCTGCCAATCCATTCTGCACACCACCAACTCACTGATTTCCCCAAAATATTTGCTCAAATTTTTCATGGGCTTTGCATTTCCTACATCATAAAGTTTCAAATCCTTAGTTTCCACCCTGATTGGGTTTTCCCCAATATACTCCTTTCTTACACAGTAACCCACCACGTCAGTCAGCCTGATCTCACCGTCTCCTCTTCCTTTCTTGATTCCTAGGCTGGGTTAGATACCCCTCATCTGCCCTCCCACCATCACCTCCATATCTCTCTCCTCCAAATCTCTACTACTCTACTATATTGTACTATAATCATTCATTATATATGCCTCTTCCCCAGTATACTGTACATCCCTTAAAGTCACAGCAGTGTCCATTCATCTAAGCTCCCAAGCTTAGCCAAATGCAAAGCACATTGTAGGTACTCAATCAACCTTTGCTGAATAAACCGAATTATGTATGCTTTGCTCTTGTGACTCCCCCACAATACTTGGAATGCCATCCCACTTCCCTTACTACCATATCCTACCTGTCCTTTAAGGTTCAACTCAAGTTCCATCTTCTCAAGGCTTTCTCAAAGCAATCCACACTCTATTCTGATCCCCTCCTTCTTCGGTCTCCCAAAGCATTTACAGGTTATGTCACTTATTCTAGCACTTAGTACAGACTAAAATGAGTTATTTAAAAAATATGTATAGCCCGGCCAGTGTGGCTTAATGGTTGAGCATTGACCCATGCACCAAGATATTGCCGGTTTGATTCCTGGTCAGGGCACATGCCCAGGTTGTGGGCCTGATCCCCAGTGCGGGGCATGCAGGAGGTGGCCAATTGATGTTCTCTCTCATCGATGTTTCTATCTCTCTCTCTCTCTTTCCTTTCCTCTCTCTCTAAAACCTATAAAGAAAAAGAAAAAGAAAAAATGGATAGTAGATACATCTGCGTAAGTTACATATCTCCAACAATAGTCTCACTGCTCAAAAAAAACTGGGAACACCGCAATTGGAATTGCCTCCAAACCCAGTTTATCAGACACATCCATAAATATGATTACATGATGGTCATATCTCATTTCTGAGGTTGCACCAACAATAACAAAAATATTCATACCTACGTCTGATTCTGCTTTTTGGCCATTTTCAAAAATCAAGTTCACCCTTAAAAGACAAAAATTTGCCACTAAGTAGAAAGTATTATCAAAAGCATGTTTGAAGAAACGGCAATACCACTGGAATAGGTTCTAATACTTTTGTGCTTTGCATTAACTAACAATAGCAGCTACTATATATTTGGCATCCACTATGTTCCAGGCACTGTCTTGGCTGCATTATATGCATTAAATCTTTAAAAATTCTTGCAGCCACCCCTGCAAAGTATGTGGTATCATTCCCTTTCACAAATAAGAAAACTAGGAAGTAGGTTATTTGTCTAAAGTTACATATCACAGACTCAGCACGTCTGCTCTTTCCACTACCACCACACTACTTTTCATAACATATATTACATATATCTTATCTCCCCCCAAAATTTATAACCCAGGAAAATGAAAATGTGTCTTTTGGTACTTAGTCCATGTCCAATAAATAGTTGTTATCTAAATAGTACATGGAGAGCCCTAGCTGGTTTGGCTCAGCGGTTAGAGCATCGGCCTGCGGTCCAGAGAGACTCGGGTTTGGTTCCCGCTAGGGGCATGTACCTCGGCTGCAGTCTGTCCCCAGCCCTGGTTGGGTTGTGCGGGAGGCAGCCACTCAATGTGTCCCTTTCACGTCTATGTTTCTCTCTCTCCTCTCTCTCTCTCCCACTCTATCTGAACAAAAAATAGAAAAATGTCCTCAGGTGAGGATAAAATAAATAAATAAATAGTACATGGAGAGACTACTTGGCTTAACAGACAAGACTATTTTAGCAATATGAGCAAATCTTATTATTCCTCCTAAATTAGCGTCAGATTTTCTGTAGAGTGACCACAGTTAAGCATGAACAGTAATGAGATATGTATACAGACAAGGGGTCTGGCACGATAGGCCCAGTAAATGTTAAGCTTTCACTTCCCATAAGACACACTCAGGGCCATGGCTGGTGTGGCTCAGTTGGTTGGGCATCATCCTGTGCACAGACAGGTTACCGGTTCGATTCCCAGTCAGGGCACACGCCAAGTTGCAGGCTCTATCCCCAGTAGGGGGCGTGCATGAGGCAGCCCATTGATGTTTCACTCTCACATCCATGTTTCTCTCTCCCTCTCCCCTTTCTCTCTCTATAAATCAATTTTAAAAAACTTAAAAAAAAAAAAAAAAAAAAAGACACTCAGAATTTCAATTATCCCTCACTCTTCAAGTTCTAAATCTGGACAGGGGCCATTAGAGGCAATAATTAAAGGAAAATCTTAATACTTCCCAGCAGATCTCTGAACCTGTTTTTATTCCAAATCTGCCCAAACTGAAGCTCTTTTCGGTCATCCTCAAAATATTTTCCTAAAACCCAGATTTCTCAGGGCCCTAAGAATTTATCTCTACTCCTAGGGCTGGGCCAGGGAGAGTAGGATAGAATGAATGAGTTAAGCTCAAAAGAACACCAGATAGACATTGAGCAGATGGCGGTGATTAGAGCCAACCTGACCTGACAAAATATAGCAGGACCAAGAGCAACCCATTTGGCTCTTCAAGTCTATCCCTCAGGGACGGTTGTCCCAGCAAGGTTCTGCCATCTCCAGCAAGTTTCTGAGCTCTTTGTTACATCTAGGTTTTTTTTTTGTTTTTTTTTTTTTGTATGTGCCCCTAGTGGGAACCAAACCCGGGACTCTCTGGTCTGCAGGCCGATGCTCCAACTGCTGAGCCAAACTGGCATTACATCTAGTTTTAAGACTTTCAAGTGACAGAGCCAGAACCCAAGGACCCTAAGAAACAAGCAGTTTGTAAAAGAAAGCTTGGAGTGGGAGATTGCCTTTTGTAATCCAAGATAAACCCTATTTTGAGGAAAGTATGATGGGATCAATTCTTTCATAAAGAAAAAAAATTCTCTTAAAAATAATGTTTTAGCCCTGGCCAGTTTTGCTCAGTGGTTAGAGCATTGGCCCGCGGACCAGAGAGTCCGGGTTCAGTTCCCGCTAAAGGCACGTACCTCGGTTGCAGTTTGTCTCTGGCCCAGTTGGAGGTCGTGTGGGTGGCGACCACTCAATGTGTCTCTCTCACATTGATGTTTCTCTCTCTCTCTTCCTCCCTCTCTCCCTCCCGTTGTATCTGAAGATAAATGCAAAATGTGTCCTCAGGTGAGGATTAAAAAAAAAACGTTTTACTCTGCAGAGGAAAAAAATTCAGACACAGCCCGGCTGGTGTGGTTCAGTGGACTGAACGTCTTCCCATGGACTGAGAGGTCCTGTTTCGATTACCAGCCGGGGCACATGCCTGGGTTGCAGGCTCGATCCCCTGTAGGGGGTGTGCAGGAGGCAGCCGCTGGATGTTTCTCTCTCACATCCATGTTTCTATTTCTTTATCCCTTCCTCTCTCTCTGAAATATCAATAAAAACACATTTTAAAAAAAAAGAAAAAGAAAAAATTCAGGACACAAACTCTATGAACCAATAATGTGAGATTTTTTAGTCCCTGAGCATCCAGGATGGCCATTGTCCTTCGCATAGAAATAATTCATATAGAAACAAAAATATATTATTACATAATATTGTCATAAGTTAATAACATGAACTAGCTGGAAGTCCTTTGCATAAAACCTCTAACATTCATCATCATACTACAGTTCATAAAGCATTTTTATACATAACTTTTTATTTATAACCATCTCTGAAAGTACTGTGAACACCATTTAACAGATGAGGAAACAAAGTCAGAGAATCAGAGTGATCTGCCCAATGTCACACAACAAACAGAACCAATACTCAAACTGTATCTGACTAACATATCTCAATTTTTTCTTTCTTTTTTTTGTGGTATGTGCCCCTAGTGGGAACCGAACCCGGGACTCTCTGGTCCGCAGGCTGACACTCAACCGCTGAGCCAAACTGGCCAGGGCCATATCTCAATTTTTTTAGTGTATCACCCTCTTAAGAACTGCTGCTCTGGTTTCTGATATGGAAAACAGGCTGAGGCCTCTGCTAGATCTCAGAGTTGGTTATGGTTAATGGACAGAAGAATAAGGCTGATAACTTCACATATTTCTAAAGAAACCACAGAGAAAGAACTGAGAAGTGGGAAGCAAGAAGTCTGCAGACATTTAAAACTACTCAGCTCAGCCCTGGTCGGTTTGGCTCAGCAGTTAGAGCATCGGTCTGCCCCGCTAAGGGCACATACCTCAGTTGCAGTTTGTCCCCAGCCCTGGTTGGGTCATACAGGAGGCAGCCACTCGATGTATCCCTTTCACGTCCATGTTTCTCTCTCTCTCTCTTCCTCTTTCTCCCTCCCTCTCTATCTGAACAAAAAATGGAAAAATGTCCTCAGGTGAGGATAAAAAAACAACAACAAAAAAAACTACTCAGCTCAATCCACAGAAATTACATTTTCTCCACTTCTATTCCTGGACAGGTTTAGAAAGATACAAACTCAGCTCAGATAAAGGGTCTTTTAAAAAATTCTTAAGTGGCCCTGGCCGGTTTGGCTCAGTGGTTAGAGCGTCGGCCTGTGGTCCTGAGAGACCCGGGTTCGGTTTCCGCTAAGGGCGCGTACCTCGGTTGCAGTTTGTCCCCGGCCCTGGTCGGTTGTGCGGGTGGCAGCCACTCGATGTGTCCCTTTCACATCCATGTTTCTCTCTCTCTCTATTCCTCTGTCTCCCTCCCACTCTACCTGAACAAAAAATGGAAAAAATGTCCTCGGGTGAGAATAAAAAAAAAAAAATATGCTCATTATTACTTAATTATCTATATCTGCAGGGATTGATTGTTTAAAAGCTCAAAAGCCATTTGTGGAAGATGTGGCTCAAAGTCCAATGATACAAGAGGATGTGGGAGTCAAGATTTCTGGGCCTAAGAAAGCCCCAGACAGTAGTTATGATCTCCCTCACTCTCTACATTCAGTCATACTATCTTGTAATAAGAATACACAATTTCTAATTAATGTCCTCCCAATAAATTAAAAAAAAAAAGAATACCTCTTCTAGGTCTTCTTAATCCCCTTCTTACCCAGCTTTGGACCATGGTCCACTGCTATAATCACTCCCTTACACACCCTTAACTCCCTTGCCTCACTCACATGTGCCTAAAAAATGCTAACCCAGAAAAAATTAAAAAAAAAAAAAAAAAAGCCCTGGCCGGTTTGGCTCAGCGGTTAGAGCGTCAGCCTGCGGTCCAGAGAGACCCGGGTTCAGTTCCCGCTAAGGGCGCATACCTCGGTTGCAGTTTGTTCCCGGCCCTGGCTGGTTGTGTGGGTGGCAGCCACTCGATGTGTCCCTTTCACATCAATGTTTCTCTTTCTCTCTCTCTTCCTCTTTCTCCCTCCCACTCTATCTTAACAAAAAAGTGGAAAAATGTCCTCAGGTGAGGATAAAAAAAATAATAATAATAATAAATAAATAAATAAATAAATAAATGCTAACCCTGGTTAAATACAACTCTGCTCCGACTCAGTACCTACAAATGCACAGAACACACACTGAGCTGACTAACCTCACTGTAATGGACGATCCCTAGTCTTGGTTCGTGTTCCTGGTTATCATAAGCACACTTCCCTACTCCATTCACTCTCCCACACTCCCAAATTACCATTTCATGCCCTTTTTTTCTCTCTTCCAATCTCCTTCTCCTTCTCTCCCCTCATTCACAGTGGATCACCTTACTATTTCACCAAGAAAACAGAAGCAAACCAGAAAAAACATATCACATGCTCCTAGCACTATACACCTCCTACCCACTTGCTTTTATGCCTATCTGCTTTGCCTTCCCTTCTGTTACTATGGAAGAACTATCTGTGTTTTTATCTAAGGCCAACCCCTTACCTATGGATCATATTCCATTCTGTCTTGCCTCCTCAAGGACATTATGCAGGCAATTTTCCCCATCTCTCTACTGGATCATTCTTTCGGTATACAGATACTGAAACATCTCCCGTCTTGGGAGGGAAAAAACCCTAACCCTCAATCCCACACCCTCCTCCAGCAACCATTCCATTTATCTGCACTCCCCTACTCCCTGTTACAGGAACTGCTTTCAGGGATTTCTATATTATTATCTCCAATTTCTCTCCTATTCCCGAATTTGTGAACTCATCCCAGTTACACTTTCACTTCCACCTTCCCTCCACAACTCCACTAATACCCAAAAAGGTCCTATGTTGTTTGGGGTCTCCAAAAATGACTCCCATATTGCTGAGACCTATGTCATTCTCAGGCCAATGTCACCCCAATAAATTAAAAAAAGAATACCTCTTCTAGGCTTCCTTAATCCCCTTCTTAACGTAACTGACCCAGTTGTAGCATTGGACACAACCCTAGAAGAGGTAGATGAGACTGTATATTCTTTTTACAAAAGAGCATGACTGAAATATATACCCAGGAATTCTGGTTCACTCAGTCTTGGAGTTTTTTCAACACTGTCTTTCTTCCTTTCCCTACCTTCTCCCTCACTAGAGGCTCTTTCTCGGCTTCCCCTCCTTGGTATTCATGTCTCTGATCTAATGTAGGAGGACCCCTGGCCTTGGACTTTTCTCTATATTCTCTCCCTAGTGATCTCACCCAGCTTGTGGTTTCCAGTATCATTCAGATTTCTCTCTCTAGCCCAGACCTCTTCCCTGAACTTCAGAGTTTGATAGCCAATCACCAATTAATTATTTCCTCTTGAAAGTCTAACAGGCACCCCAAACTTGAGTTGTCCCAAACCAAATACCTGTCTTTACCCAAACCCACCCAACTTCTTACAACAGCTTCATAAGCAGTGTCCTTTTTGCCACCTTTGTCCTCCTGAAGTGTTCTCAACATAGGACTGGTGATATTTTTAAAAGGTAAATCAATGCTACTTCTCTATTCCAACCCTTCCAGTGGCTTCCAATATCAAACAAAATAAAACCTGAAGTCTACAAAATCTTATAATGAATGCTCTTCCATGGAAATCTAGCTTTCTGACCCCCACGTTCTGCCACTCTTCCCCTCACTCATTCTAGTCCCATCTCAGGGCCTGTGCATTTCCTGTTCTCAATGCCTGCTTAGCTTATGCCCTTGCTGTCTTCAGGTCTTTGCCAAATTGTCACTTTATCAGTAAAGCCTTCCCTGACACTAACCGCACCTCCACTCCTGTAATTGAAAATATCATCACCCCATTCCCTGCTCCAGTATATCCTACCCCCTTCTCCACTTTGTATTTCTCTAAAGCATCTACATACTATGTCTCTGTCTCTCCATACATATATACATCTTTAAAAATAATTTATTTGCTTGACTATACAGGAGAACAGAAATGTCTCTATTTACTGCTGTTTCCCTAACAATAAAGTCTAACATACAAAAAGGCATTCAACAAGCCTGCTGAATAAATAAGTGAATTATTATATTCAATCACTAAAAGACAGCTTTGGGGAAAAGAGTGAAGAGAGAAGATAAGCTCAACTCTTGGTATGATAGAAAAAAAGGTGCTTGCAGGAACTTACCTGCTCCTCGACTGGGAGGATCTCGGGCTGGGGGAGGTGGCCTATTACTCTGTAAAGAAGGAGAGGCTGAAGTGGGTGGAGGAGGTGCTAGGCCTCTGACAGGCCCTGGTGTCTTCCTATGTAAAGAATTGTGTCTCTGTGGCAGCTCAGGGGCTGACTCATTAGTGGGACTGGAGGGTCCATTGGGGACCCCTGGAGGCTGGCGGTAAGGTGGAGGAGGAGGAGCCAGAGACTGGCCACTTGGTCCTGTTCTGATATTCACAGGGGAAGGAGGTGGTTTAACTGGGGGTGGAGCTGGAGGTCCCTCTCGACCAGGGTGAAGCCTCTGTCCAGGTGTAGGTGGCAAGGGTTTCTCTCTGTTGTAGGCTAGGGCTTTGTTGCTGTGCACAGGCAAAGGTGTAGGGGGTGCGTTGGCACGACGCCCCGGCGGTGGTGGAGGAGGGGCAGAGGAGCTGTGCTTCATGCCCGTACTGCTGGTGGTATTAGGCCGAGAGAGGTCTGGTAATGAAGGTCTCTGCATCCGGGGCAGTTCTGGGAGTGAGGCTCGGCTGCTGTCCGTATCATCTTGAGGGCGCCCGCTGACTGTAGACACTGGGGGCCTTGGGGCAGCAGCTCGAGAACTGGGAACTTGCAGGGCTGGCTTACCAGCTAAATTCTCTACAAATAAACCAGACGGCACTGGGTCAACAGAGCTAGAGATATGTTGGTCAGTATCTCTAATTCACCCAGCCTCATTTCCCTGCACAGCAGCAGGGAAAGTATTTGTATAGTGCTGGGTTTTAATCTGGCTCAGGGCCCATTAACAAATACTGCTGATATAAGCCAAATATATTTTTAAATAATGCCTTTGCTTTATTCTATTCTACTCTATAACTACACCCCTGCTCCCACTCCTTCCCACCTCTACCACACTCCTCAACCCCAGATGGACCACTTGGGACCAGTCAGGAATTAATGCACTTGGGGCCCTGGCTGGGTAGCTCAGTTAGTTAGAGCATTGTTCATATACATTCAAGACTACAGGTTCAATTCCTGATCAGGGTGCATACAAGAATCAACCAATGGTCAGGCCAGTGTGGCTCAGCGGTTGAGTGTCGACCCATGAACCAAGAGGTTGCGGGTTCGATTCCCGGTCAGGACACATGCCCAGGTTGTGGGCCCGATCCCTAGTAGGGTGCATACAGGAGGTGGCCAATCAATGTTCTCTCTCATCAATGTTTCTATCTCTCTCTAACATCAATAAAGGGAAAAAAAAGACTCTGTCTGCCAATCCTGTTTCCTCCTCCTTTATTAAAAAAAAAAAAAAAAAAAGAAGAATCAACCAATGAATGCATAAATAAGTGGAACAACAAATCAATGTTTCTCTCTCAAATCAATAAATTTTTAAAAATTAATGCACTTGGGAAATATTCTCAGAAAGTACTTGTCAGATACCTGAAATATCCTTGGCGCCCACAGGTCGAAGCTTCGGCACTCCTCCTTGGAAGAGACCTCCCTTAGGCTGTAGGGCACCTACTCCAGAGCCATAACCACCACTGCCTCCTTTCGGTTCTGAAAAGTATACCATTAGAGCTTTCATTTCACATGCTCCAAGCTGGTGACCAAGTTAAGCTTGACGACAAACTCCTCTACTTGGGTTCTAATTTGCAAACAAACCAATCTTGCCTTTTGCCTTTCCATAAAAAAAAAAAAAAAAAAAAAAAGATCAAAGCCTCTCTACTCCACAGGTTCATGTAAGAATGAAAGTCTTCGCTGTGATGAAAGAAAAACAACAAAAGGAACAAGGGGCCAATCTTCCCTTATTTGGGCCAGAGGGATAACCTGGATAAAGATATGTTCAACAGAGTTCTCTGAGCTCTGCTGTCACAGTCGGGGATGGTAAGGGGGGTCAATGCCTCAGAGGCCAGGTGTGAACAATTCTCCAGAGGCCTTTGAGAATCGACACTGGTAGCATTAAGGAGATCATCACTGGTTTCAGCTGGGTGGTTTTTGAGTCTGTGGTGGTCTGAGAGAACAGTCAAAGATGTGCCCTAACAATCATAACATGGACTAGTGACAGTGGGAGACGGCAGTCTTAACCCTGAGAACGCTTCCCAAAGGTCAAAATAAGTTTCTAAGGTATTCAAATGAACAGATGGGAAGATAGCCAAAGACCATCTGAGGACAAAACTCTCCCACTCAAGACCCAGCCAAATCTCCAAATTAATCCTAGGCTTAGACTCACTCTCAAGGATGGGAGCACTCCGATCATTAATGTTGGTCACCTTCTTCAGCTTGGCCCCTTTGCAGATGTCCTGTAAGAGGGCACCTCGACCCCGCTGCTCATCTCTACTCAGCTTGAGCTGCTCTGTGTTTGCCTAGAGGAAGAAGAATATGTAAGTTCACCCTAAATAGTTCCTTTCATCACAAGCTTGGGATAATACCTTAAGCCAAATTGGGTTCCATGAGAAGCCTGTCTAACTACACCAGATACATATGCCACACAGCACATAATGGTAATGTGCACTACCATTCTTCTTAGTCCTGTTTCTCCTGTTGTGCTTCCTATTCAGATGCTTGTGATCGGAGGCTTGCACTAATACTCACTGAGTACCTATGCACTAGGTCTGTGTGTTGGATGCTTTAGATGTATCAGTTTCATCAAGGCAAACATCTATTGAGCCCTTGCTATGCCTTAGGCATTGTGCTAAGCATGTTACTTTTCTTATCTCATTTAAATCTTGAAATATTCCTATGACCAACTACACCAGGAGCATAGGGACAGACAGCTAGATAAATGGAACAAAACTGAAAGTCCATAAGCAGGCCCAGCTCTATATAAGAAATAATAGCCCTGGCCAGTTTGGCTCAGTGGTTAGAGCATCAGCCTGTGGTCCAGAGAGACCCAGGTTCAGTTCCTGATAAGGGCACATACCTCGGTTGCAGTTTGTCCTCGGCCCTGGTTGGGTTGTGCGGGTGGCAGCCACTCGATGTGTCCCTTTCATGTCGATGTTTCTCTCTCTCTTCCTCTCTCTCCTCCCGCTCTATTTGAATAAAAAATGGAAAAATGTCCTTGAGTGAGGATAAAAAAAAAAGAAAAAAAATTGTTAGCCCTGGCCAGTTTGGCTTAGCGGTTAGAGCGTCGGCCTGCAGTCCAGAGAGACCCAGATTCGGTTCCCACTAAGGACACGTACCTTGGTTGCAGTTTGTCCCCGACCCTGGTTGGGTTGTGCGGGTGGCAGCCACTCAATGTGTCCCTTTCACGCTGATGTTTCTCTCTCTCTCTCTCTCTTCCTCTCTCTTCCTCCTGCTCTATCTGAACAAGTAATGGAAAAATGTCCTCGGGTAAGGATAAAAAAATAATAATAATAATAATAATAATGTATTTCATCAGAAAGGATAGGTTATTAAATATAAGGTGTTAATAACTGGCAATTTTTGGAAAAAAATAATAAAGTTAAATACCTACCTCACAGCTTACTCTCAAACAAATTCTAGCTGAATTATAATATTTAAGTGTAAAAAAATACTACAGAAGTACTACATTAAAAAGTTGCTAGGAGAAGGTCATTCTAAGCACAACTAAAATACAGTAAAAGATCAACAGATTTGCTTAGTACAAATTATCTCTTAGGAATATAAGAAAACAAACAGATGATACACTGGAAGGAAAAATCATCTGGAACAAATGTAACATATGATAGACATAAAGGTAGTGTCCAAAATCTATAGAGCATTAACATACAAAGATGACTTAGGAATCAACAGGATAATAAGCAAAGAATATGAACAACACTACTATATAAAAAAAATCAGAAAGCCAGCAAATATGAAAAAAAAATCAACTACAATAAAAGAAATACAGGCTAAAACACAGTATCATTATCTACCTATGACACTGGTACAAATTAAAATTGTAACTAAAGAGACTGCTAGCTTCATGAAGGCAGGAACCCCAGTGGGCAATGATGTACAGTGTCTAGCACATGGCAGAGGTTCAGAAAATGTCTAGAATAAAAAAACACTCTATGGTGCTCAGAAGGATTCAGGGAAACAGGTACTCTTTCAATACTACCTGCAGTCAGATAAATTGTATGATCTTTCTAGAAAGTAATTTATGTGTTAAACACCTTTTAAAAGTCTAACACAAGCCTGGCCAGTGTAGCTCAATGGTTGATTGTCGACCCATGCACCAAATAGGTCGCCAGTTCGATTCCCAGTCAGGACACATGTCCAAGTTGTGGGCCTGATCCCCAGTTGGGGGGCATGCAGGAGGCGGCCAATCGATGTCCTCTCTCTTCGATGTTTCTATCATTCTCTCTCTCCCTCCCTCTCTCTCTAAAATCTATAAAGAAAAATAAATAAAATAGATGAATAAATAAATAAAAGTCTAATACAAGAATTCTACATTTAGGAACTGACTTTAAGAAAATAATTGAGCCCTGGCCAGTTTGGCTCAGCAGTTAGAGCGTCGGCCTGCGGTCTGGAGAGACCCGGGTTCGGTTCCCGCTAAGGGCGCGTACTTCGGTTGCAGTTTGTCCCCGGCCCTGGTCGGTCATGCGGGTGGCAGCCACTCGATGTGTCCCTTCATGTCGATGTTTCTCTCTCTCTCCCTTCCTCTCTCTCCCTCCCACTCTATCTGTACAAAAAATGGAAAAATATCCTCGGGTGAGGATAAAAAAAAAAAAAAAAAAGAAAATAATTGAGTAAGTGCACAAAAATATTATTAATAACAAAAAACAGTTTATAATAGCATAAAACTAAAAATAATCTAGAAGTTTGATCAAAAAGAACAATGATAACCGCCCTGGCAGGTTTTGCTCAGAGGTTAGAGCGTCGGTCTGTGGTCCAGAGAGACCTGGGTTCGGTTCCTGCTAAGAGCACATACCTTGGTTACAGTTTGTCCCCGGCCCTGGTTGGGTCGTGCGTGCAGGAGGCAGCCACTTGATGTGTCCCTTTCACATAGATGTTTCTCTCTCTCTTCTTCTCATTCCCTCCCACTCTATTTAAACAAAAAATGAAAAAATGTTTTTGGGTGAGGATAAAAAAAAAAAAAAAAGAACAATGATAACCACACAACGGGATGCCAGTTAAGCTCTTAAATAAGTACAAATAAAGCCGTGGCTGGTTTGGCTCAGCAGTTAGGGTGTTGACCCATGGATTGAAGAGTTGTGGGTTTGATTCCGGTCAAGGGCACGTATCTGGGTTTTGGTTTGGTCCCTGGCTCTGGTTGTGCAGAAGGCAGCCAATCAATGTCTCTCTCGCATTGATGTTTCTGTCTCTATCTCTCCCTCTCCTTCTATCTGAAGATAAATGGAAAAATATCCTCAGGTGAGGATTAAAAAAAAAAAGAAGTACAAGTAAAAATCTTTTCACGGTAGCCCTGGCCAGTTTGGCTCAGCGGTTAGAGCATCGGCCAGCGGATCAGAGAGTCCCGGGTTTGGTTCCTGCTAAGGACACGTACCTCAGTTGCAGTTTGTCCCCGGTCCTGGTTGGGGTCGTGTGGGTGGCAACCAGTTGGAGTATCTCTCTCACATCAATGTTTCTCTCTCTCTCTCTCCTCCTCCCTCTCTCCCTCCCACTCTATCTGAAGATAGATGCAAAAATGTCCTTGGGTGAGGATAAATAAAAAATCTTTTCATGGTAGTAAATATTTGCCACAATCAAGTAAAAAATATTATAAAACAATACATATAGCCCAGCTGGTGTAGCTCAGTGGACTGTCATCCCATGGACTGAGAAGTTCCAGTTCAATTCCCAGGCAGGGCACATGCCCAGGTTGCGGGCTTGATCTGCAACAGAGGCCTGCAGGAGGCAGTCAACTGATGTTTCTCTCTCACATTGATGTTTCTATCTCTCTCTCCCTTTCTCTAAAAAAATCAATAAAAACATTAAAAAAAAAAATACCATGATTCCAATTTTCTATAGGAGTAACCTAAGAACCTATCTCACAGGGTAGTTTTGAGAATTAAATGATAACACTTTTCAAGAGCTTAGCAGTGTCTGGTGTATAATAAAAGCTCAATATACAGTAGCTGGATTACATTTGGAAGAAAAAAGTATACACATAGCAAATTTCTAGAAGGATGCATAGTAATACTAGCAAAAGTGAACTTCCAGTAATAATTATTTGTTTATCCATATTTTCTAGCTTTCCTACAATAAATATATATAAAACATAAAAAAAGTTAACAAAAGCTAATTATATACTTTAACATTTTCTATATTTATTTGTATTCTCTAATTTTTCCCCACATTTTCAGTACAGCAAAAAAATTTTCAATGATATCATTAACCATTTAATGACATGACAAGCCATTCATGATATATTAATGAGTAAGGAGCAGATTAGAAATCAGTACATAGATAAAGCACAACCACTTTTTTTAAAAACTAGGAAGACAATGGGAGGAAGAGAAGAAAAGGATATACACAAAGCTGTTATATAGTTGGATTATGGGTAATTGCTCCTTTTTGCTTATCCACAGTTCATAAATTTCTTGAACATATTACTTTTGTAAAGAGAAAACTATTATTAAAGAATTACTAAACACATCAAATTTGAGCTTACATCCTCCTCCACAAATAGCACCATCATTCTGTGCTTGGGAATGCCTGGGTATACCATCATTCAGTCAATACCCCAAACTAGAGTCATTCAAATCTCTTTCCTCTTTCTCACTCCTTCCATCTGTCACCAAACTCTTTAAGATTTTACTTTCTAGGTATCTCTCATTTCCACTCTCCATCCTCACAGCTTTAGTCCAGGCCCTCAATTTTCAATTGCAACAGGCTTTTGTCTCCAGATTCAACTCTCAACCCACTATCCATACTATTAAGAGTGATCTTTCTAATACAAACCCAATCAGGTTACTCCTGTCCCTGAAAATACTTCAATACCTGCCCATCATCATTGGGAGAAAAATCCAAACCCTCAGCTCACACCTCCAGCTTCACCTCCCTCTCAAGTAATAATCTAAACCTCTGAGTGCTTTCTCACAAATCAGCTCCTTTCCACATTCTACTTCCTCAACTTCCTTCCTCTCTCTTCTCTTTTTGGCTAAAACCTACTCAGTCTTTAAGACTTAGCTCAGCCCTGGCTGGTTTGGCTCAGCGGTTAGAGCGTCAGTCCTCGGACCAAAGATCTGCAGGTTCAATTCCAGTCAAGGGCATATAATTCGGTTGCCGTTCAGGCAGGCACTCACTGATCTTTCTCTCTCTCTCTCCCCTTCTCCTCCCCTCCCACTCTATCTGAAAATAAATGGAAAAAAATATCCTCAGGTGAGGATTAAAAAAAAAAAAAAAAAGACTTAGCTCAGTTATCACCTGCCCCATAGAAGCATTCTCTGACTGCCTCCTCCCACTAGACGAGGTGCCCTTCTTTGTGGCCCCATATACTTGTGCCTAGCATGGAATTTGCCTGTTGACTTGTCTGTGTCACCCATTATGCTGAGAGCCCTTGAAAGCAGAAACTATCTCACTTCTGGGTGATGGCATTACAGATGATTTTTTTTTTCTCATCTGTATATTTTCCCCTTTCTTTCTTTTAATTATATATATAAATTCTTATTGGAAAAGAGTCAAGCAATATGTAAATATGGAGTAAAATTATCTAGATTTTCTAAATTGTATACCTAGCCAAGTCCCTGATACATAGTAAGCCCCCAACAAAAGGCTATTGAGTGAATGACTAAAATAGCATGATGCAGGGTGGTAATCCAAGACATTATAGAGATCCAAGGATAAACTTTGGCTCGCTGAATCCCACTATAACCAGAGCAGCACTGCTTTTATCTTTACTTATTGGGCTTCCACATAAAATTTCATCCAAAAAGGGGCTTCATATATGTCTTCAAATAAAATATCTGAAAACCAGAAGTTATGGGGAAAAAAACAAGTTGGCAGACCTGAATTCTAGTCTTGGTTCAAGAAATAAATTAGCTGGCAAGTCACTTTTCCTCTTCATAGCACAGTTTCTCATCTGTTAAACACCTAACACACACACACACACACACACACACCCCCAGGATATTCATTCTCTAAACTTACTTTTGCTTCTAAATTTTACAAAAATGAGATAAAGCACCCAGTTTGTTTCTTCTCATGTCACACCATCCAGATACAGTAAAAGTGGCTGCCTCCTTGGTTCAGAAGTCACACAGTTTTTAAAACTTCCATTATCGCTCTGGCTGACTTGGCTCAGTGGTTAGAGCGTCGGCCTGCAGTCCAGAGAAACCAGAGTTCAGTTCTCGCTAAGGGCACGTACCTCAGTTGCAGTTGGTCCCCGGCCCCGGTTGCAGTCGTACGGGTGGCAGCCACTCGATGTATCTCTCTCATGTTGATGTTTCTCCCCCCACCCCACCCTGCTCTATCTGAAGATGAATGCAAAAATATCCTCGGGTGAGGATAAAAAAAAAGAAAACATTATCAACCCTTTAGGTTTTCTTACTAATACATTCCATAAACTCCTTTCTTTCTTGATGTGGTGTTAGACTTGATGGACTAGGTTTTAAAATGAACTGATTTGGAGAAGAAGAGAAGATGAAATGGTAGCATGAAACAACCACCAGAAATTGCTATCCCTTTTCTCAGAGGGATGCCAGAGAAATAATGCATTGACCTTTTCAGAACAAATAGATTTAGGAGGAAAACACCAGTTCCTATTCTGATGCCACCTGTCCGATCTCCATTTAGACCAAACCAGGACAAGAAAACAAAAAGCCATTATGGTCCTAAGAGGACCTCTCAGGAATCAGAACTAGTTGATAAGTTCAGATTTGACTTGCTTATTCTCCATCTTACTACACCACAAGTCTTTGAGTATGATATGTTTTATACCAGGAAGTCTTAAGTATTCATTAAAGTTTTGAAATAGCTGAGTGGAAGGATTACCCACCTGATTAAAAGTGGGAGGTGGAGGACCAGGAGGGGGTGGAGGGGGAGGAGGAATTGGCATCCTTGCCCTGCTCGCAGTTGGCACTGCTCTCTCTCCGTTTTAATTTGCAGCTTTAGGTCACTCATATACCTGCAAATAAAACAAATTCATGAAAACTTCACCATTTGAGGCACTGAGTACCAGAACTAGGAGAATGAGCGTAACACCAGAAAACTAAGCACCTCTTTCCTAGTTCCACTGTTATACAGCCCAAGACTTTCTAAACTTTTTTTTAATAAAAGGCCAGATAATAAATATTTTAGGCTTTGCTGGCCACATATATTATTCTTTTTGTTTTGATTTTTTTTTTTTTTTTTAAATCCTCACCCGAGGACATTTTTCCATATTTTGTTCAGATAGAGTGGGAGGGAGAGAGAGAGAGAAACATCAAAGTGAAAGGGACACATCGAGTGGTTGCCACCCACACAACCAACCAGGGCCGGGGACAAACTGCAACCGAGGTACATGCCCTTAGCAGGAACCGAACCCAGGTCTCTCTGGACTGCAGGCCGACACTAATTGCTGAGCCAAACCAGCCAGGGCTGATTTTTTGTTTTTAAATCCTCACCCGAGGACACTTTTTTTTCCATTTATCTTCACATAGAGTGGGAGGGGGAGAGAGGGAGAAACATCAATTGGTTGCCTCCTGCATGACCCCAACCAGGGCTGGGGTCTGAACCTCAACCAGGTATGTGCCCTTGACCAGAATTGAACTCGCAACTCTTTGGTCTGTGGGTTGACTCTCTAACCACTGAGCCAAACTGGCCAGGGGTATTTTGATTTTTTTTTCCTTTATGGATTTTAGAGAGAGAGGAAAGGAGAGGGAGAGAGAGACAGAAACATCGATGAGAGAGAACATCGATTGGTCACCTCCTGCATGCCCCCACTGGGGAACGGACCCACAACCCAGGCTTGTGTTCTGACCAGGAATCGAACCAGTGACCTCTTAGTGCATGGGCTGATGCTCAACCACTGAGCAACACCAGCCAGACTTGATTTTTTTTTTTAATTAACTTTTTTTTTAGGTTCAGAGCAAAAGTGAACAGAAAGTACAGACAGCACTCATATATCCCTGTCCATGTCCCTCCTCTGCCACATAAACAGCCTCCACAACTATCTACAACTTACCGTGGTACACTTGTTATAATGGAATCTACACTGACACCTCATTATCACCCAAAGTACACAGTTTACATTAGGGTTCACTCCTGGTGTTGTACATTCTATGTGTTTGGACAAATGTATAATGACAATTACCCACCACTGTAGTTATCATACAGAAGAGTTTCACTGCCCTAAAAATAATTTGTGCTCTGTCTATTCATCCTTCCTTCCCCTCAACCCCTGATCTTTCTATTGTCTCCATAATTTGCCTTTTCCAAAATGTCATATAGTCAGAACCATAGTAGGTAGCCTTTTCAGATTGGTTTCCTTCACTTAGTAATATGCATTTAAGTTTCTTCCGTGTTATTTTCATTTTGATAGCTGGTTTCTTTTTAGCACTAAATAATACTCCATTGTCTAGATTTACCACAATTTATTTATCTATTCACCTACTGAAGGGCATCTTGGTTGCTTCTAATTTTAGCAATTATGAGTAAAGCTGCTATAAATATCCTTGTGCAGACACAAGTTTGCAGCTCATTTGACTAAATACATAGGAGCATGATTGCTGGATCACATGCTAATAAACTGCCAAACTGTCTTCCCAAGTGGCTGTACCATTCTGCAGTCCCAACAGCAATGGAGAGTTCCTGCTGCTTCACATTCTTGTATTTGGTGGTGTTGGTGTTTTAGAATCTGGCCATTCTAATAAGTGAGTAGTGGTGTCTCATTGTTTTAATTTGCAATTCCCTAACGACATGAAGTTGAACATCTTGTCATATGCTTACTTGCCATCTGTATACACTGTATCTCATCTGGTGAGGTATCTGTTCAGGTCTTTTGGCTCGCTTTTTTTTTTTTTTTTTTTTTAAATAATTGTATAAATTGTTTTGAGAGAGAGAAAAATGGAGAGAGAGAGAGAAACATCAATCGGCTGCCTTCTGCATGTCCTCTACTGGGGATTGAGCCCGCAACCCAGGCACGTGCCCTGACTGGGAATCAAATCAGGACCTCTTAGTCCATGGGAAAACCCTCAATCCACTAAGCCTGGTTTTTAATCAGTTTTAAGAGTATAAATTGGGCCCTGGCAGGTTTGGCTCAGCAGTTAGAGCATCGGCCTGCGGTCCAGAGAGACCCGGGTTCGGTTCCCGCTATGGGCACGTACCTCGGTTGCAGTTTGTCCCCGGCCCTGGTTTGTGGTGCGGGTGGCAACCACTCGATGTGTCCCTTTCACATCGATGTTTCTCTCTCTCTCTCTCTCTTCCTCTCTCCCCCACTCTATCTGAACAAAAAATGAAAAATGTCCTCAGGTGAGGATAAAAAAAAAACAGAGTATAAATTGGATAACAGTCCTTTATCAGATGAGTGTTTTGCAAATATTTTCTCTCAGTCTGTAGCCTGTTTTCTCATTCTCTTGATTTTTACAGCATTTTTTAAAAATGTAAAATGTCCGGCTGGTGTGGCTCAGTGGATTGAGTGTCATCCCATGGACTGAGAGGTCCTGGTTCAATCTCCTATCAAGGCACATGCCCAGGTTGCAGGCTCGATCCCCAGTAGAGGGCATGCAGGAGGTAACTGATTGACATTTCTCTCTCTCTCTCTCTCCCTTCCTCTCTCTCTAAAATTTCAATAAAACATGTTTAAAAAAATTAAAATAATGTAAAAAGCCAGTCCTGGCCAGGTTGCTCAGTTGGCTGGAGCAATGATTGTCCCATTCACCAAAAGGTTGCAGGTTCGATTCCCAGTCAGGGCACACACCTAGATCGCAAATTCGATCCTTGATCGGGGCACGTGTGGAAGCAACCAATCGATGTTTCTCTCTCACATCAGTATTTCAAAATCTCTAACTCCCTTCCTCTCTCTAAAATCAATGAAAAAATATATATCCTTGGGTGAGGATTAAAAAATAAATAAAAACCATTTAGTTCATGGGTCATATAAAAACAGACCATGGATCATAACTGACTCATGGACAATAGATTAATAGCCCCTAGAATAGTCATATCACTGGAATCTGATGAGAGCATAAAAACCATGTGCAAATTGCAAATTTAGCTACTTATCAGGTTACAAAAAAACAAACAAACAACAATACAGCTGTCCCTCTACTATGATGTGTAAGTAATCCTCATTTTAAAGTTAAAGCCAGTGAACTGTCTTACCATAAGATATTAAAGTAGGGGGCAAAGGTAAAACCAAAACCCAGGAACACTAATACCCCCAAAAAGATGTCCCAAGAAAATCCCACTTCATGATCCCCACAAAATCAAAATTAAAATAACATAACCACCGGGGAACTATAACTGACACGACAAAAAAGGTTCAGGATAGGGTAATCAACTTCATCAATTAATTCATGGAAGAACTGCTCCCAAGCATTGTGACTATCGAAATTAGGACACAGGAAAATTCACGGGTAGGCCCTAGCACAGATGGGTGACCATGTGTACCAAGCCAAGCCTAAAATATCCATCCAGTATGGCAATCCATTTGGGAGCATTGATTATGAACTCTTTACAAGGGTGATCAAAATTTCCTTGTGATTAAAGGAGTAACCACTTAAATGTGTATCTCAATGCCTTGGGAATGATGAAAGGAAAAGGTAAATATTCCAAAGGTTCTACAAAACCAAGAACCTTTATAGGTGGGTAGAATTTGATCAGAAATATGACTGTGAAGGTCTTCAAAATCCCAACTCCTCCCAGTATAATGTCACTATAGGCTGGCTGGCCAACAGGGATTTTTGCTCCAACCACAGATGAACAGGACAGCACTTTGGCTAGGTGGTTCCCATGGTGGATGGTGTCAGAACTCACTTCAAATAATGAGCAGCTGACTCCCCTCCAAGGGAAATACCTTCTTGGTGCTGCTTTCAAAGCTAAGTCTAGCCATGGCTGGTTTAGCTCAGCGGTTAGAGCGTTGGCCCTCAGACCAATGAATCACGGGTTCGATTCTGGCCAAGGGCATGTACCTCGGCTGCAATTCATCCCCGACCCTGACGGGAGGCAACCTGTCGATGTCCCTCTCGAGTCGCTGTTTCTCTCTCTCTCTCTCTCCATCCCTCCCATTCTATCTGAAGATAAATAGAAAAATATCCTCCAGTGAGGATTAAAAAAAATAAAGAAAAAGCCAAGTTTAGTCTTTCTTTACCAGGGATCGAACACATGAGGCTTTAAAAATTGATCAGGCCCTGGCTGGGCGGTTCAGTTAGTTGGAGCATCATCCCATACACCAAAAGTTTGCGAATTCATTTCCTGGTCAGGGCACATACCTAGGTTGCAGGTTCAATTCCTGGTTGGGTGCCTACTAGAGGCATCCCATTGATGTTTCTCTCTCACATCAATGTTTTGTTTTCCTCTCTCTCTCCCTTCCTCTCTCTAAAAATCAGTAAGCATATCCTTGGGTGAGGGTTAAAAGAAAAAAAAAAATCAGAATAGTAAATCCTCATAAGCAGAGCATCTATCACAGGGGGAGGAGAAGGAACGGGACACAAATTGAAAATAAAAGAAACAGCCCGGCCGGGTGTGGCTCAGTGCTTGAGCATTGACCCATGAACCAAGAGGTCACCAGTTCGATTCCTGGTCAGGGCACATGCCCAGGTTGTGTGCCAAATCCCCAGAGAGGGGCGTGCAAGAGGCAGCCAATCAATATTCTCTCTCATCGATGTTTCTATCTCTCTCTCCCTTCCTATCTCTCTAAAAATCAATAAAGAAACAAAATTAGAAAAGAAACATGGAGAAGAGGAAAAAAAATTCTTCTATTTCAATTCTCTGGGTTCTCTACCAGTACACTCCAATGCCCCCACAGCATTCTTTTAAAAGACTAGCAGGAATAGTAAAAAACATAATAGTCTATTCAGAAACAAATGTTTTCAACTAATTTCAATCACCTCAGTTTCTAACTTTTCTGAGTTTCCAGTTCTACCTTTTCCATTGCTACAACTGAAACAGTCTCCTAGAATGATCTGGAAAAGAGATTCAGACAAG